GGTTGGTCCAAATCTCGCTGCCAATTGTTAAACACCTCAAAATGCAAGGATGTCCTTTTTTCGCTGTTCAAAGGAAATCGCTACCAGCAAATCCTAACGCGGTGTCTGTAACATTGTATTGATGGTGAATGTTTGATCTCTTCCACTTTAGTAGAATACACAGGAGTGACACTGAGCAGTGAGCTTACGTGGCCTCTTCACGTGAACGAAACATTTACTAAGGTTAGAACTCACACTATTTTACACGTCTCAGATCTTCTTCCGTACCTCGTCGTCTGATCCAGCGTTTTATCATTGCAGGTGTGTTACCCTACGGGACCTATTGCTCTCCCGTGATTCTTCCTAATCTCCTGAGTAAGGACCTCAAAGTAATTGCCAGATCAGTGAAGCATCTATCCCGGTGTAGTGGCATTTCAAGGCTGGAACTTGTTAACATCATTGTAGCTAGCCATATCAACTCATGTAACAGGCTTGCATCTTAAATACTCGCTGATGTTAGCCCCCCCCCCCCCACAGAGTGCTGACTTAACGCGTAACAACCTCCTCTACCAGACAGCTACAAAACTATGTACGCCCGCAAAAAGGCCAATGGTACATCAGTAGTTCCTGGCCTGTCACACTTTTGGTACCACAAAAATTCAGTTATTCAAGAAATGGTTAGTAAATTATGCCAGCGATGTCTGCTGTGAAATTTTTTGAACCATTTTGTCTTTATGCCTATTCTCATGTGCTATTCGTTCTCCTTATTTCTCCCTGTACGTGGTGTGTGTATGTGTCTGAACTGAATATTCACCCTGTACTGGTGCATAAAGCACATTCTTGACTTGACTTAGAAACGAATACACTCAATTACGCACTACGGCATTGTCCGTATTCGTTGAAGTCGCTAGTTGTACCTACGTGACTGAGTGCAGCAAAAAATTGCCTGATAAACATTCTTGAAAAACTGCAAGTCAATAGTCGCGAAAGCATCAGAGACAAAAGCTTTCCGTCGTCCTCGCAAACTAAAGTCCAGTTTCGTGAGGCGGAACAGGAAAATATATCGCTTTAAGGAACGGATTTGGTGTGTTCACAAAAGCTCCGCTAGCTCAAAAAATTGGACAGAGTATTTAGCTCAACGCAACTATTGTGTGTGGTTGGTTCGTAAAGACGAGTTGACAAACCAATAGGAGCTGGCGAAAGGATTCCAATCGCGCCAAAAGCTTAGAAATAGTGTTGCTCATCCCAACACTGGCACCACACGACCGCGGTTTCGTCCTGGTTTGGACTCATCAGGTGGAGAGAACATGAGCTAGGGTGGAAATCAGAGCCGAGTGGTTCACGGCTGAAGCCATAAACAGTGAGATCCGCGAGCAACGCTTTATACAGTGGAAACGAATTCAAAGTTGGACTTGGAGAATCCGCTGTGTGGTTGGGTTGCTGCAAGTAACCTCTATTGAGACCTTAGTTCACTTAAGGTGGACCTTAGTCATTCCGATCACAAGGACCGTATGTGAAATGGAAATATTTTGGTGTTGCTCATCCCAACTTTGGTACCTCACGACTGCGGTTTGGTTCTAGTTTGGACTCATCAGGGTGAGATATTTTTTCCATTTCCATTTCACACACGGTCCTTGTGATCGGAATGACCGAAGTCCACCTCAAGTGAACCGAAGTTTCAATAGAGGTTGCTTGTAGCAACCCAACCAACTCCAAGTCCAACTTTGAACCAGAAGCTTATTTTCAATGTGCACCGCGGAATACCATCATCCACTACGGTTGGTGGGTACACGAATACAGCGAGAGAGGCGGACAATACTTTACGGGTGCAGTACTCACCTACCTTAACTAATAAATTGATCGAACGCCACACTTGTTTCTATCACTCCATCATCGGGTTTAGTCAGTCACATTCACTACAGAAACGGTGCTGAGAAAATTTGCTACCCTTGCGTGTACATAGCTCTCCTGGAGTGGATAACACACGAAAGCCCTACAGGTAGCAGTTATACCCCTAGCAGAACCAACTGTCGGATTCTTTCAGCGCTGTACATGTAGCACACCCAGTGACTTGGGGAAGAAGAGTCAATTTCGAAAACTTCGACGGTGACTGACCCGAGAGCTCCGTCGCATTAAAAATGCATGATAGAGAAGGCGAAGCAGATGGAATGCTAGGCTGAACGCCGCCAACGCAAGGAATTGTTTAACTCCTTGAAGGCGGTGTATAGACCGATGTTGGAGCTGCTGAGGACGCTACTCGATGGTAGTTCAGACGTAGCCTGCACGCAGACTGTAGACGTAATGCAGATCTGGCGAAAGCACTTTGACCGTCTCTTGAAAAACCGTTCGGAGAGCGGCTGGACTGTGTTGCACGGGATACAACAACACGAGATGCAGACGCGTCCTGCAGACACACCTACTAAGGATGAGACACAGAGAGCATTTGCTCAGCTGCGAAACCGCGAGTGTGCCGGTGCCGAAAGGATCATGCCTAAAGTATTGAAACACAGCGGACCCGCGTTGATGAATGCGCTGCAGCAGTTGATGCAACTCGTGTAGATTGAAAAGGAGATGCCTCCTGAGTTGAACGATGCCTTTGTACTACCAATGTACAAGGGCAAAGGGAGTAGGCAATGTTGCATCAATTATCGTGGCATCAGCTTGCTGAGTTGTGTGGGCAAGGTGGTGGCCCGAATCCGGCTCAACCGCGTCGTCAGTCAGGTTGTGGATCCGAATGTCGCGGAAGAACAATGTGGATTCCGTTCGGGTCGCAGCACTATGGATATGGTGTTTGCGGCTCGTCAGTTGAAGGAGAAATGTAGAGAACCACACCAGCCGTTGTACTCGCTGTTTGTTGATTTCACCGAAGCATTTATACGGCGAACTGAGAGGCCTTATGGTTGGTGTTGGATAAGTTTGGTTGTCCCAGTAAGTTGGTAAGTGTAAGTGAATGTCCGCACAGTGGTATGCGGGCGAGAGTGGAGCTGAATGGAGAGACCTTGGGTGACTTTGCAGTTGTCTCTGGTGTGAAGCAAGGCTGTGTCTTAGCTCCTGTCCTGTTTAATATTATCTTCATGTGATGATGTCTTGCGCTTTTGATGCGGCTTGTGCTTACGGTGTTTGTGTGGAGCACCGTATTAATGGTGGGTTGCTGAACATCCGTCGTTTCGGTGCGAGAACCCTAGTCTGTGAGACAACTATCCCTATGTTGTTGTTTACTGGCGACTGTGCGTTGTTTGCGCACAGCACAGATGAGTTGCAGCACGTGATTAATGCTCTGGATTCGGTACCGGCTGTATTCCGGCTCACCAACCACACAAGCAAAACTGTCTGTCGCTTTCAGCATTCACCGGAGGTGCAATCTGCAATGTTGTCGCAAACCAACATTGGTGACGAAGTATTGGAAACCACCTTCCGCTTCTGCCACATTGGGAGTATGGTTTCGACTGACCAGCAGATACACAGTGAGCTTCATATCTGCGTCTCGAAGGCAGCGGCGGCATTCGGGAAGCTAGAGTACCGAGTGTGGAACAACCAACACCTTACCGTCGGCACGAAGCTGATGATGTACAAGTCCATGGTGTTCGTTCTTCTATACAACAGCAAAACATGGACGAGGTACTGGTGAGAGGTGAGATATCTGGAGCGGTTCCAACAACATTGTTTGCGACGGATTCAGCGCATTGCTTGGTACGACAGAGTTGCAGACACGGAAGTGTTGCGTCGAAGTGGAATGTATGCAGTGGACTGAATATTCTTGCTGAGACATCTGAGGTGGCTCGGTCACGTATGTCGCATGGGTTCGGCGCAGATACCGAAGCAGCTGTTATGTGGTCAGCTGAGCGTTGGGAAGCGGCACGTGGGGAAACCGAAGCTTTGTTACCAAGACATGATCAAGGTGAGCCTTTCACGTTCTAATCTTGATTGCAGGTGTTGGAAATCGAAGGCGGTAGATCAGCATGAATGGCGCGAACTGGTCACGAAGGCAGTTGCCGAGGTGCAGGAGAAAACCTTCCAGCATGCGGAGAAGAAATGGCAGGTGCGGAAGCGACAGGTGCCAATGGAGTGTACTATATATATATATATATATATATATAAGTAAATAAAAGAATAAATATATATTCCCCATTGAACACAGGAAACACCATCGAAGGCCTGATTAATCTGTGCAATTAGCAAGTCTGACTGTGAGGGCAATAGTTGCACGCATGACTAAAGTTGTGTGCTGTCTAACGGTGTCACCAGTGAGTCGGGGCAAACTGAAATCTTAGTGCATTATCACGTCAAATCAAGAATTCGTTTTCGTGCACCCATGAAGGGTGAAATTTTAATTGTAACACACATGTGATCGAAGCCGTAAAGCGAACAACACTGTAACTTTACAATGTGCTCCCGGCAGTATGATTGCTTTTAGCAGCGAAAGCAGCCTACTAAAAGCTTACGGGTTTATTGGAAGCCAGTCATGAGGCGATAACAGCTTTTGTGGTGATAGTAATACGGCGCCCATAGACCGGTCATCACATATGGCCAGGCTGTTTTTCGCAATTGCTAGCACAGCGACGCACTAACCACTTCGCAGGGAACCCTATTGCTGGCTGTTTCACCTGGATGGAGGCCGACTACCGATTGATCAAAGCATGGCACGTTCAGTGCAGCTGCGGCTGCTAACATCCAGTTCTCACAGTCGAACGGCCTGCGTTCCTTTGGTCTTGCCCTGCGATCCACGCATGACAGGTCGATTGCGGCTGCGGTGTTTGATAACGTTCAGTTCTCACAGCCGAACGGCTCGGTGGGCCCTGCGATCGTAGACAAACATGTCTCATCTCTTTGCCCCATCTCATTCCTGAAGGCAAAGCAATTTGCGCCATTGGACAGTTAGCAATTCAGCGTGCTGGGGTACGTCAGCACCGGAGTGCAGCCGCTTCTAGCTCTGGACATAATTAATAAAACAACCTATATATATATATATATATATATATATATATATATATTGTTTGGTTACTACGATACAAGGAGCAACGGGTCTCGAAAAACTTTATTCCGTCTAGTATTTTTACGTATAAGAAAGAAGCAATGTTTCGCAAAGCAATCTTTTTAAACAAAGTTGTATTATAAAGTTTACATGTGATGAAAGCCTAATAGGAAGGAGCTTATCTACTCGTTCGTCGCTGACTACGTAAGGAGGCGCACATGATGTATGGGTTATGTGTAGGAGATTGAGGTCGAATGCTACCAAAGAAAGCAATTCCCAAAACGGGTTACAGTGTTGTCAACGCGCGAGCCCAAAAGTAATTTCGCAAAGGCATACCCAATCAATTCCCTTTGGGTTCAATCGAACCTATGTCTAACATGCGACTTGATGTGCTGCAGTGACACGGGGTGGACTAGGGACGAAGCTGGAGAAAGGAGAAAGGGGACAGATGAAGGGAATGGTGCAATGCCAGTTGGCTTGTCAACATGAATCCTATTCACTTCGGCTGCAGTTCCTCTTCATATTGTTTACGGAAGCAGTCACCGATAGGGAAGAAATCCCAACAACGTTGCTGGTAGAGCTCCCAGACGTAGGTTTCCTGAAATTAGCAGATAGGATCAGGGAATAATCCGCGACATTGATAGTTTAATACCAACAAGTAATCGGGTCAGATGTAAATATAGAATATCATAGAAGAATGAGTGACATCTGTTTGGTAGGGAGATGCAGTAATCAAATTACCAGGTTCAATGACTAAAGTAACAGGTGGGCATTTACTCTGAGTTGCCACTGTGTTGAAATAGCTTAGACTATGTGAGGACTTTGTCCCAAGGAGAGTGCATATCCTGAATTGTCTGCGGTATTCCTATGAGAAAATGTTGAGAACGTGTGGGGAAAATAGTAGAACATAAGAAAGTTATGAGCCAACGAACATCTGCCAAGGGACATCAAGAAGTGTTGGAAGACAAACTTCTTATACTGGTTAGCGGTATGAACAAAACAGCAACTTCGGGCACCGAATGAAGAGGAAGCGAGCTGCGATGACGCATATCATAATGACCGAGATTATATATATATATATATATATATATATATATATATATATATCAGGCTACGCAAAAAGGTAATGCGTTACGCTTGTCGCATACTTTTCCAGTTTCAAAATGAACTTATTGCTAAACAATTCATTCAAAAGCACAATGTCATTGTGCTTAATACGACTTGCAAAGTATGAAAAGTATCGAGGACAAAGCCCCGCTACAACGACAGATAAGAAGGCGAAAGTCAGGTAAACCAGAATACCAAACAGCCATCTGGCGCCCCACATCCGGTCGATATTGCTCCACTTAGTGGCCACCACAAATTTGAGAATAATACTCCACTTGATGCAAATAGGGGCGAAGCGATGAATAATAAAGTGCTTTTTGAAATTAACAAGGAATCACATGAATATGCGGACCGCTCTATTACATTAGATGCTCTGTCCGGTAGAATATCTAATTCTTGAAATTCGGAGTTAAGATCAACGTCAGGTGCGAAATTGGTTACTGGGAGACCTCCACCAGGCCGCAGATTCACGGCTAAGCATGATAGGCCGACCAAGCCCAGAACGATTACAATCCACAAAACCAGTGATGTGAATGGTGCTTCATCTTGGATAATCAATTCTGGCAGTCATAGAGGGTTTCCTAATGCTGTTTCCTGCATGCGAAGTGGCAACAATGTGGATCAGCGAATAACAACTTCATTACCTGCTAAATCTCAATTGCATGCGAAAGCGCTACCTCAAGCCTCGAACTGTCATGTCCCGCCTAAAGTCTGCTCTGGCCAGTGTCCAAGCTTATCGAGAATATCGATGGATCCGGTCAAATTGATTGATAGAAAAAGGACGGTTGACCTAGATTTATCGCAAGCGTCACTGGGCGACTCTGTATCGTCATTTTTTGGATAGACGTACATCCATTGGTCATAAAGTTATGAAAGACTTGCCACCATATTTGCGCCTTACACACGGTGTAAGTAGGTACCACGACTTTCCGATTCCATCAACGAACCACACGGATTATGCTGATGGTGCTGTATGGATTGACACCAGTGTGCTTCCACCGCGTATAGTGAAGCATTGTATATCGAGCGCAAGTAAGCGGATTTTACCCATGAATGGAAATGACAGCTACCCAGACTGCTATCAATGTGTTACCTAATCAACAGCTTATTAGTGACATGATGCAGAGGACATAACTTTACTCTGCGGCTCCTACAAGCTAGTACAACAACCATGAACTCTTTTCCTCGAACCATTTTCTAAAGGGCCGTACCCAGTCGCAAACCCCTCCGCTGTGGCCACCTCCAAATCATTTTCCACTGTTGGCAATACACGCACTTTTTCAACAATTTCTAGCCTGGATCCAGGCGCACGGCTTGAAACCCCAGTGTTTATAACACAGCCTAAACAATCTTCCTCATATCTCACATCTACCTCAGTATATTTTGATAAACATTCGTGCTCTTCACTCTAAGATCCATACACTACGCTCATTTGTTTTGGCGAATAATCCTGATATAATATTTATAACTGAATCTTGGTGCCCTGATGACATGTCTGACAATCAGCTAACTATGTTCGGATATGAGAAACCGCCCTAGTCGTCTAGGTGATGGCTGTGTAATTTATCTGAAAAATTCGCTCGCAGCAGCAACGTTCGAGAACCCAGTGCTGAACGATGTCCAGAAATCACTATGACACGATATCTGTTAATCAGCGGCAGTTGCTTATGGGATGTATATACAGAGCGCCAAACTGCAGCCAAGAAGAGCTAGAACTATTGACGCTTGCATTTGAACGCGCCGCTAGTCTACTATTTATACATAAGATTATTGGAGGTGATTTCAATCTGCCTTCGATTTCATGACCCATCGGAACCGCTCCTTTGAAATGCCAAGATCTTATCTCCTGTATCCCAATGAATGGTTGGTAGCAACACATCTCTCAACCTACCAGAGGTGAAAGTACTCTGGATCAATTTTTCGTTGGGCATATCTGTAATCAGTGTTAACGTTCTTGGTGAATTTCAGAGGAGCAATCATCGCATGATCAAATGCCGCCTAAGACTACGCATGGCCGATGTACAGAACACAATGCATTATCGTTTGTTCAGTTCCGTCAACTGGGGCTCTTTCAAGGACGTAGTTCGTTCGATGAATTGGGATAACTTCTTTCTCTCTTCATGTGCCCAACAAGCGACGGACCTGTTTTATAGTATAATTGGCTTGTGCATCGATTCAGTAGTACCACTAAAATGTGCTTACCAAACTAAACATAAATCCGATCGCAAGACGTTAAAGGCAGCACGAAAGCTTCATAAGATCCGGCAGAAATTCAGGTTAACTGCTGAGCTAGCGCTATTAGTACAGCAGTCCAAGCTCGGCGAATGACAGAGGCATCAAAACGACAAAACTATCATTCTAGTAGGGTATAAAGCTCTGAACGGCTCTATCAGTTGAGCTAGCCAAACTATTCCGTGCCCGGGGTTCGCGTTGCAGCAACAAATTCAATTTTATCACCACGCATGATGGAACATACTACGACGCACCAAGTGATATCTATGAAGCTTTCAGTGCTTATTTTGCCGAATCAATGGTCAATGAATTGGCAGACACACCAGCACTTAGCATGCTGCATAACAATGTAAGTCTGTGCACAGTGGAATTCACTATAGCAAAAACCACTGGTCAAGTCTCTCGCTTATGCTCCTCAACGTGCGCAAGCCCTGATGGGATTCCCTCCTTTTTTTAATAAAAACTGGTGGTAGTGACTTCCTTCTGCTGTTGCTCAACATCTTTGCACTCTCTTTTAACAACAGAATATACCCTACTCAATGGAAAATTTCTGTCCTTATCCCGCGACACAGAAATGGCGCCGCCCACAAGGTTAAAAACTTTCGTCCTATCAATCACACACCCATCGTAAATAGAATAATAGAAATGATAGTGAAAGATGAACTAGTTGTATTCTTGAACAAGGCTAACATCATCAGCAATTCGCAAAATGGCTTCATGCAAGGTCGATCCTGCGCAACATGCCAGACAGACTGGTAAACCACACAACGGCTGTTAGAAACAACGGAAACAGTGTTGTACTCGTGTTCCTGGAGATGCAAAAAAGCCCTTGATAGAGTGCCTCATACAAGGTTATTGAACAAACTGAAGGTCATCGGCATTGGTGAACCGATGTTTTCTTGGCTGTCTTCATAGCTAATTGGTAGACAGCAGGTGGTACGCACCGGCGACCATTTCGCTAAATCGAAAGCAATCACCGGTGGAGTGATTCAAGAGAGTGTTCTTGGTCCTCTTTTTTCTAATACATATTGACCATATATTCCAGAGAAATGGTGTTGCATTTATCTTTGCTGATGACATTAAAGTTGTCTAGTCACAACCACGTGCGAATACCCAGGAAGCCGCACGTCTCATTCAAGCTGACCTAACTGCCCTTGACTCCTGGTGCCAACTGTGGCAGATGTCATTTGCCGTAGGCAAGTGTAATATTTTGTCGTACAAATGTCAAGTACCGCCATACAGTTTATTACTACAATGGGCATATATTTCGTAATGCAGGGCAGTTCGCGACTTGGGCGTGCGATGTGCAGTCACTTCTAGCTTTTCTGAACATTGTGCCTTTCAAGTTTCGAAAGCCATGAAGACCATCGGCTATATCTGCCAGCATTTTTACCTCCAGGAATCTCGCATATCGTTTTATAAAACATATGTATTGCCGTGTATGGAAAGAGACAAAGGACATGATTCCAAAATTTATTACGAGAATCAGAGAACGTTACTTTCTGACTCACTACTCACAGGTTTGGAACAAACTTCCAAGTGATATCAGGACATGCTACATACTTTGCGATTTTAAGCTCGCGATTAGTAAGTAGTTAAGCGTACAAAACGTGATTAATGTGTTCGGGACATCACAGTCCCTAGATAACGCTTTCGAAAACGGTATCGATGGTGTCTGAATAAACTTTCGAAACACATACACATAACATTTCGGACAACAGCCCCTTTCATTTCATTTCATTTTTTCTCGGCCCAAACATCTGACATGTGATTGTGAAGAATCCTGGTTCAATGACAGGAAAAAATAGCAGAACGATTCTGATTACTTTGTGTTGCTTTATTTGAGATTGCGCCAATGTTTATTTCTGAAAGAGTATTGACCCAATGTCATGGAAAGGTTGTACGACTATTTGATCTGTTCTTTCTAGGGAGCAGCTTCTCGTATCGTCGAGGAATATACAATTTAGTTATTTATTTATAATACCGGAAACGTCAGTCAAAAGTATGTCGAAGGTAGAGAGAAGTTGAACCGGATAAGTAGTTGAACGAAACGATATGTCGAGGGCAAGATGGTTTTGTTCAAATGCAGCTCCTAAGTACCATGACAAATTGCTTTTTTTCTCTCTTCGACTCATGTGCCGCGGGAGTGAATTCTGTGGTTGCGTTATGAGCTTGCCAGAGGTGGAACTTGAATACAGCTGCTAGGATACCTAATAATAAACTTCTTTGTCAAACAGATCAGCAGATGCTTTGGATTCGATTGATCATGACCGTAGATGAACCCAGAGGAAAATCAAAATTGTACCCTGGTTATACAAACCTCGAATAGTGGCTTGGTTTTGTGATGACTGTGAGCATACCTTGATGTCACGGTTTCATCCTTTTATTATGTAGATAACAAATTTTAAATGTCAGTACTTCGCGAATTTTTCTGGTCCGTGACCGATCACAAAATCATTCAAAGATCATCCAGGCCCACAGCACTCGAAAAAAAGTTGGATTATCATCAGCAGCGACAATTTTCTCCGGTAAGACCAAAAGCAGACTCAGGACACAAAAATAAGTGATCGTCATAGCTTTCCCACAGAGTACCTAGAAAACTGCCATTGTGGCGAAATATCACTGGCTAGGCAGTAGAGTTCAATATGAGTAAGATTAGGCCATTGGCTTTAGAGAGGACGATTAATGAAAGCGGCTCCACTCGATTCGTTAGCATCTGTATACCAAAGCATCTCCCCATTTTTAATGAAACGCGTAGGTTTTCAGTTTGGGGTTCAACTGAATTGGAATCACTAGTTTTTGGTGCCTATCTGTCCATCTCAGTACTAACTCCGGTATAAGTGTGGGAAGCGGAGTTCCCTGTTCGAGTGCTGAGGCTTATGGACTGATACTGAAAGTGCTGAACAGCAAATCTAACGGAAATATGCTGCACGTTAGTGGAGCTGTAACTGATTGCTGTGACGGACCCAAACTTCGGATTTAACGGTGACGTACATGATACTCCCAGTTCGGCGAATGCCACTTCCTCATGTCTATGTAACATGGTCATTGCGGTAGTCCTTTGCCAGCACCAGTTGCCCTATGAAGAAAACCCAGCTGAGTGCACCATATCTCCTGTTAAAGCGCTGTTCCATGCTGCGGTTTCGAACCAAGATGTTCTAGTCAGTAGGTTTAATCAGATCAAGGCTGGATCGTAATTTACGCTGCATTATTGCTTTAGACGAAGATTTACCTTGAGACACCTGAGGAGTTGAAGTAATCTTGTAAACAAGAAATGTCTAAAGGGTTTCGGCCCTTGATCTATCCTCCTCTGCCTTCAATAATGCTCACTTGATGATATCTACAAATCGTTCTGCTAGGCCATTCGACTGTGGACGATATGGAGGTGACCGCATATTAGGTGTGCCTTTTGTATTGTGGAATTCCTCGGAAATCACCGAAGTGAACTGAATTCCGTTATCAGTCACTAATGTGTCCGGATATCCGAACAGGCCGAGAAATTGACGAAGTGCTGTAATGGTTGTTGAAGCAGCAGTCGACGGCATCTGTAGGACTCCAAGGCACTTACTGTGGGTGTTGGCTTAGCTCAAGAAGTTATTTCCATCAACAGGTCCTGCATAGTCAGCATAGAGCCTTGACCACAGCTTCTGAGGATTTGGTCAACACTGGGGCTCTGTTTTCCTTAGCGACTTCGAACCAATTGGGCATTTAGAGTAATGGAGTGCAAGCTCTTCGTCTTGAGCATCAGGAAGCCAGTAACATAGCTTCTGGCCAGCGCCATTCATACGGCTAATTCTTAGGTACCAGATATAATACTAATTCAGGACTCGTGGTTGAAGGACCTTTGGAGTCACCACTCGGTCTATGAAGAGTAGACAGACAACCACAATCGAAAGAGAGCTGCAACATTGACAGAACGGTCTCAGTTCATTGTCTCCGATCTTCTGTGGTCACTGTGATCCGTGGAAAGAAAATACTCGCTGCAACAGGAATCACGCGTTATCGTGATACGTATGAAAAAACCGGACATTGAGTGGGGCCGTACATGTCATCCAAGTCCCGGTTGTACATATAGACATTCTTTGGCTATCCACAGACTCGGTGCCAGGTAAATCGAAAAAGGGAAACCAAAAAAGAATTACGGTGTCCATCATTCAGTTGTCAATGCCGTTTCTAGTGTTTGGGTGCGACCCTACGTCGGTATGTTTCAAGTCTGTTAGGTGGCTCGATTTTCGGTCAAGATCATGTCGATTGTAAACATTCTGAGCACAAAGTTAGCTCCGAAAAGATGTAAGTCAACCGTAGTGTATCCCTCTCCTCGGAGTGGACACTGGATATAGTCTATCGTGGGCCTTTGATGCGACCGCGAAAAGCGTAGGTGAAAAATAAGAGTACAAGGACCATTAAACGTTTCAACGCAATAAGTTGGTGCAGCAAACCGAACTGACGATAACCTTCAAGTCGAAGATCACCGCACGAAGTTTGAATCGGGGGACTCCTAAGTAGCCAACAAATAGCGAAAAGTGGCCAACACGATATATACCATGTAGAAACTAGTCTGGCTTCCAATGAAGCAGCGCTCTCGTGGACTAATGAACAGGCGCCACAGAATTCTCTTTAGTAAAATTGAGATGATGCTAAAGAGACTGAAACCCCAATAGCTTTCACAGCTATCAGCAGTATATTGGTTCCATGTGCTGACGTTCCGTTGTCGTGCAACTGCGGCCAATTTACGCGGACTGGCGTACCAGCGGGATGCAGAGATTGCATGCTACACACACCTGAGCCACACCACATGACAATCCCCCAACAGGTTTCATACGAGGACGCAAGTCCAGGGACTATGGTGAGTACACAGAAGAATGGTGTGATTCAATCGTATCGATGCACGTCGCCACAGTGATCTTGGCGCGATGAATGAAGATGCGTTGCGGCGCCATTGCCCCGAGTGCATGTTTCGAAGAGCGCAGGGGACAGCTAGCAGCACCCAAGAGGTCTGTCTGGAAGCGGACGCGAATATGGAAAATTTAACAAACAAGAAGGAACCCTGGATTTCAAGCAAAACACTGGATGCCTGTCAGTGTGACTGAGAACAGCGGGGATAATCAACTCCAAGTCAACGAGTATCTGCAACAGATTTGTGGGAAAGGCGGAGGAGCAGAGTGGCGATCCAGATTGGAAGACATCACCATCCTTGGAAAATTCTGACCGGATTTGGCGGGGTGTCGGAGAGATCAATTTGTCCAGTCATTTGGGACCCTCACCCCCATTGTTCCCCTAAAACACCTTATTATGGACAGCCCATTTCCCTTTGCATGTGCCAGAACCCCAGCTGCTTTACCTGCTTTACCTTGAACATTGATAAACCATTCGATTGCTCATCTAGACCACCTTCTATCGTGACTCAAACCCGCCCTACACATTTTACACCCTTCATGGTTTGATGTGCTCGTTACCGATAACCCCCCGCAGACGCCGCAGAGAGCCTCACCATAGACTACACATGATATATATATATATATATATATATATATATATATATGCCGAGGTTGATCTTAAATAAATGATACTTCTTCACCGCAGTCGGGCTAAACCATCTTGCACTTACACTTAAACTACGTCTTTTTAAGCTGGATGAATTGCATTCCACTTTATTTGCTTTGTTCTGCACACCTGAAAAATCTATTAATTTGCACTCGTTGCTTACGCCTATTGTGGTTATCTCCGTTAACGTTATCGCGTTTGTAGCATTTTTGAGTAACTTATGGACATTAAGTACTTATCGCGGGTTCGTTGTTAACCAACATACTTCATATGCTAATTTATCAAAGAGTTATCTCAGCATAACCGTATACTTCCATATATATTTCAGTCGATAATGTCATTTCAAGTGATTGCCTGTTGTTTGACATCCCCGGTGTGGCTGCGCTTGATGCGCATGTTGGCAAAGTGCCTAACTGTATATTAGGCACTACCTCACGATACTGGCTCCGGGAGACAGTTGGTCGTTGCTGGAGGGGACAAAGTGCACAGTCCTTGTGGTCGTGCTAGGCTCGAACAGCGGTTCCACGCACTCAGTGTGGAGTGGACTACGGTCCAGCCACCGCCGTGTGTGCGCTTGATTCCCAAATACAGCCTGCTTGTGCTTGCCTGTGATGGTGTGGGCCGGCTCCGTTGATGAACCGTGGCTCCCATCCGCATGCCTCCCGGTCTTATCCCTTTGGGTTTACAGTGGATATGGGGCGTGTGGTTGGAGATGTGGGTGATGCAGCGTAAGTCACCCATGGTCCCTCTGTGGGCGCAGGAGTCCTGTGGCTGGCCACAGTGACAGGCAAATCCGAAACCGGATATATATATATATATATATATATATATATATATATATATATATATATATATATATATATATATAAAGGCAGGGGAGCATGAATGGGGACAAAATTGTTAGCACAATAAAATGATAGGGGTAAGAATAGGGGTGATGTATTCTGGCTTCAGCCACATGAATAGGAAATGTCGTCATCTGAGGATGATCCAGTTTGCAAAGAGCTTTGAGTTGGTTTGGCAAATGAGGATAAGGAAACTGACTCAACGAGTTAGAGTTGCACGGACAATTGGGAAATATGTGACGTCCTTGCATCTGATCACTTTTACTGTTATTCTACCCCTCAATCGATAGTCGTCGGCTTGACTTTTTCCTCATTTTGGTTTCATTGTCTGGTCATAGTTGATAAACTTAGGCAGAATGAATCACGGCGCGTATTATCTGTTGAACGTTCGCAACCCATAGAGAACGAGTCGTGATACAAAGTGACAAATTGATGTAATGCTAAATCTAGAGACTAGTACCCACCTGTCCGGTGTACTCCGTGTCCGGTTTGTTGATTATGTGCATCAAAAAGTACCTGGGAAGAAAAGCGAAAAAGCATCAAACAAACTGCTGTTTGCAAGTAAGATGCTGTGGTGGACCATACAAGCAGCAACTTTCCGTCATGGAAGCGATAAGATGGATCTAGACATTCAATCTTCCTCGATTTCATCAAAAATACTGTTCCCAATTCCGTATCTTTTGGTCCCTAGATTATAGGCAACTATAAAGCGACTTAGCGATACATTAATTCGCCTAGATCAAGCAATATGGTCCGCGTAGTCCGGTAACCGGCACAATAGAAACAGATGATGTGCATCACAACCTTCCTCAGGAAATCGGTGTTCGCAGAGACGTACTTCAGTTTACCGGCTACGTCATGCTTGGCTTTGAGATCCTCACCGTATTCCCTGTACGGGACTCGCTAAACATTGGCTTATTTTCTGTCAATAACGAATTACCGTTCCAGTAGCTGGTTAGATGAAAGTCCCCGATTATTGGGAGGCCTGCCTTGAGCAACCACTCGTTCCTTATCGAGTGAAACGAGTTACAAGCGCGCATTTAGACCAGTATTACTTTTGCCCACGTCGCCATCGCCCTCCAGTTGATGTTTGCCGCTCAGAGGACCGGGTAACGAACGCCAACTCATGTGTAAAATGGATAGGAACATAAGTACAAATAAGCACTTGGTGCAATAGTTGGGTCTCATCATTATCAATACCTTAGCTGAAGGCAAGAAACACTAGCTAACTGCGCCGCAATACAAAAGCGAGATACTAAAGGTTACAGAATGCAAAAACTAAAAAAATCAAGTAATATAATGCAAGTGTGAGATTATTGTTGGAAGGGAAAGCTAAGCGGGAAGGGGAGGGACGAAGAAATTCACAACACATATGACACTGAGGTCGACTCTTCGCCATGCCAGTTAGTGTACTCCAACCAAAAGTGTTCATCGCCCTTGGAACTACAACCTGGCAGTCGGTAAACACCAACCGACGCTAAGTCCGAAGTGAGGAACTTCATTCCTCTTGATCAAGTCATCGTTTGGCCTCCCCCTCTCTTCTTCAATCTGGACGTGTCGTGCAAGCAACACACGACGCGGGAGTCGGTGTGCTGGCATGCGCAACACGTGGCCCATCTATCAATATTTGGGTCTACAGGTTACTGTATCAGCATAATTGTCATCCCAAACATACGCAGCCTGAATGTAGCTGATCCAGACGGAACAAAAACGCTGGTTGTGCGGTGACATGAACTTTTTGTGCCACAGTTTAACTGAGATCTCCTCATCCTCCGTCGTGGAGATCTTTAAACGTGGTTTACTCCCTACGTTGAATTCTCCTAATTTTTGTGCGACAGCCTACTAGCACAGAGGGTATGCAAAAATACCAGTAACTTTACATGTAATTGGCGAAGTTGTGCTCTTTCTCCACGTGTTGCTCAAAACCATGGGGCATTTTGTCGAAGTACTCCTTCCCGATTCCGCAGATGAAACACTTTGACTCCAAATCTTCTTTGACTTGTTCCAGCTGATCTCTAAGATCTCCGAACGCGTCAATAATGAGACCTGGTTTTGAGTACAGGAGTGAAAAAGGAGGTTATTGAGAAACTGAGCTAACGGCGGCTGTGTCATAGAGGACAAAGACGGTGACCCATGTGCATGAAGAAACTAACCTTGAATGATGGCCAGCAGTATAACGATGACAAAGAAGAAGAAAGTCATGTCGAAAAGTATACGAAACATTTCCCACTCATCACCGTCCGGAGGCTCAATCTCGTCTCCAATACCCCCACCAGCACGAAGTCCGGTGTGTAGATGGAATATGAAGCACTAACGGAAGCAAAGCGAGAAATCGGATTAGAGTGACTGTACTGTTTTAAACGTCAAAACCATGTAAGCCAATTCGGGTAGAATGCGTTGCAACAAACAGTAGATGGAACGGTGTTGGAAACACAACCAACTAAATGATCTTAAAAACACCGACAAGAACGGGCATCACTTAGGGACTACACCATTTCCCGCCCAAGTTGTCCTCTTGGGCAACAGAAATAATCTGAGGGGCATTCAACATGAGTCTACTCAATTAATTTGTTCCGTGCGTGGGAGCTGAAGCGTCCCACTTGCACGCCTATGACTTGGTGTGTCTGAAGTCCAATTGGCTGAAGGCGACGAGCTATACACGCACACCTACATACCTGCACAAGAGACTGGCGTACGCACGGAACAAATTAATTGAGTAGACTCATGTTGAATGCCCTCTTAGATTATTTCTGCTGCCCAAGAGGACAACTTGGCCGGAAAATGGTATAGAAACCAAGCGAAGAGGGAAAGCAATTAAATGAGCAAAACCGAGTGAAGGTGATAACTGTAACAGATAACTCAGCGAAAGATGCTCAACGAACAAAATGTGACAAGAACCAATCCCCGACATCAACAGAAAAGGTAGTTTCAAACAAAACGATGTGAGACAATCCTTTTAGTCCTCTGCAACAATTTTTACCGACAGGATCGTAGGGACGTAGGTGCAATTATTGACAGCGCTTTGTTTTACGTGTGCGGTGGTCGCGATACATACAGAGAAAAACGGATTTACATGGGTAATAAGAGTGAATGTGTATTACACCAGTCCAGTTAACGACAACATTTTACTGTCATTGACTACCTAGGGAAGCAGATTGAGGCCCATTATGTGGCCACTACAAAATCCTCCAACAAGAAATAGAGCACAAGCAATGCCTTCGAAGACTTGGCACGAAGGAAAACACTAAGTTTGGAAATGGAACTCAGTTGATGCTCGTTATAGGAGTGCTACCTGTGCATGTTTGCTTGTGGTTTAAAACGAAACACGGATATATCTTGGGGCCTATAGCCATGATCCACCACAGAAAAAGGGGGATAGCAAGACTGTTCTTGCACACTGGCAATGAAAGTACTCGGAATGGAGGGAGCATCCAGGCACATAGAGATAAAGATGAAATCAGACGTTTCCGTTACCGTAAAGAGCTAAAGTGGTCATAGATGAGGACCGTCAAAATCGAGATATGCTAATCCAAATGATAGCAGTTAATACGCCCGGTAACATTGTGGGATGTGTGTGGCAGTCACTGGCTTGAACACGAAGTACGGTCGTTTGTGTAAATGTCCACTTTAACCAGATGACAGATTGGAAGCGCAGGAAAGATTGTGATATGTGCTGGCTCGACGACGCTTTGACCGCGCTTTAACCACGCGGTGACGCTTTAACCGCACCTTTTGAGTTCACTTCCTCGAGTTCACCTGAACCAGTCATGAGATGTGGAAGGCAGGGGTCACTTCGTATCTGCATAAACTGCAGACGGATAAAGAATTATGCAATATCAGGTATGAGTGGAGATAGTTACATGTCCGATCAGCTAGTTATATGCGTACTATAGTGCATTTCACCTTTATGTATGGCCTGGCTGCACCACACAATGGTTGAGCCGAGACCAGTTTGGGAAGAGTGAACCCGAAAGGATATGATATGGAGTGGGTAGGCAGGCGGGGAGCAAATAAGTGTCAACACAATTCCATCTCTCGACCTCCTATGCTCGTGACAAATATCAGTGACCTATATCCCTGCACGTGTTGAGCACTGAATCGATTCAGAACGAGCGCCGGACTTGAGCTCACCATTCGAGTCGGTATACTTACCGTAGCTCAAGTGAATGGCACCAGAGTGCTTGCGGCGGGATCCACTCAACGCCCATGCCCGCGTCGTGGATTATCACTCTAGTATTGTGTGACGAATCCCTATACGGATTCCCGCAGAGAGGTGCATGAAGGATCATGCGGTCAGCACTGGATTGAGATATGGGAGCATTTATCGCACTAGATGGACGGAAGCACACGCTAGGAACAAGAAGTCCTTAAGTTGCTGCAATCGCACTGATACGGTGATGATAATCCGCACAGTAGGTTGAAGCTCACCGGTTGTCACTTGGATGCGGGCATTAGACACACAGACAGACAGGTAACAGAAGTAGCTAAACACGCTACTCCATCGGCCAATTGCTGACACCGCCGGTATTAGCCAAATAGCTTTTGATCACGTCACGCAAAACAGTTGATGCGGGTAGACGTTTCGCTTGAAATATACTCATGGACCACCAAGAGAGTTTTGATTAACCAAATGTAACCCGGGTGACTTACAGCCACAGAATACACCTGACAGTGTTGCGAATCGGGACATGTGCAGAAGGCGGAATGCGGGCGGTAAAGACAGGGCAAAGGAAGAGTTGCCAGATGGCCATACTTACCGTCATCATATCGTTGCACTTTGGATCCTGCACACCGTCATTATCCTTTACATAAAACTTTCGAAGGAAGTTGAACGCGATCACGGTGTAGAGATAGATCACTATTGAGGTCAACATGACGGTTAAAACGAGCTGGTAAAAGACGGAGGGTAGAATTAAGAGCAAAAGATGTACTACGCGGTAGAACCTGGGAAAAGGTGCTTAAAAAGTTTGCTGGTACAAACATTTAAGTAATAGGCAGTTAGGCATATGCTCACCCTGGACGAAGCAGGGTTAGTTCATGAACAATAGCAGTGAAGGGGATGCGAAAAGCATCCCAATCACGTTGCCGAAAAGCTAGGTGGCTCGGTTGATCAACTGAGGACTGAGCAGCCAAGTGCGATGGATCCGACCATATGCCTCCCGTTGATTTGATTAAAGTAACGAACAAAATGGGGAATAAGGAGGAGAGAAAGTAGATATATACACATTAAAAATTGGAATTAAAAACCTCCACTGGTCATGTGAAGAGGTGAAACGTTTGGAACATCGGAGTGCATGCATGAGAACAAATGGTCTCTGAATGGTTGAATGCCAATATGGAAGACATGCACTACTGTGCCAGGTATTTAAGGCAATTTGTTCATTCCTTTATGATATGTCATCACCAAACCAGATTGGAGTTTCACTTATCTAGGTGTTGTATTAATAGAAACATGCAACCCAGTGGACGACCGAAGGATAATCGTATGTGATGTCAGTACCTTTCGACTCTGATTGGAAGTTGAGGTGATTCGTTCCTGAAGGCAGCTTGCACACAATGCTGTGGTTCGTCTACAATTTTCGTTGGTCAACGACACTCACCTCACACAATGGGCGCGTAACAGTGAAGGAGTCAACGATCACGAGAGCGATGAAGCCACAAAGATAAGGGAGAACGGGTGATTGCGATAACCGATATGGTCTGATCATGACTACTTCCATGGAGGTGTCAAAGCGAAGTGACATCTCCCGAGTAGATAAACAAAGGCTAAGTACCATGCTAAACATGCGGTGGAAGCGATTAAGGACACCTGCCAAACCTCTATCCGTTTGCGGCCGGGTGATTTGGTTCATCGAGGAATGTTTGAGAGACACAACTAGCGAATCACGCGTCACCCGAAATATGCGTCCTAGTAACAATTTTAAGTGGTCAGCTCATCTAATCACCAGCTTTTGATGGTAGCCTTCAACAGTCCGTTTAGTCACTGATAATAAACGAAAACGAGTAAACCAAATTGGCCCTTATTCTAAGTTTCGTCCTAATCCCAAGCAGACATTCCACCTTGACATCGATCGCACTGGCTTTCGGTGGATTACCGCACCATGGCTTAGAACGGTGGATGCACACGGTTCATCGATCTGCCGGCCTGTGTGCCATCGGCTTTAAGCATGTGCCATTTTTGGATCGATAAGTAAGACTCCACCAAACCGCTCTGCCAATGGCGAAGCAGGGAAAGCAAACCAGACCAGATAACTGATTATCTAAACACACCGACAAAGACAATGATGCTGCGTATACGCTAATCTGAACGTACGGGCGAAGTCGGTCAGGAGGCACGATCGGGACGAAGATGTCTAGATTCGCTGCGGAACGTAGGAATGAGTGAAAAATCTAGACAAATTACTCCATGTGGTTGACGTAGCATTGCGATGGTAGCAATGACGGTAGAGCAAGTTGAACGACTGTTCGGAGGTTCCATGCTACTGTATGAATAAATGGGTTTATGTCCCGATGGGACGAAAACGTCCTCCATTGTAAAACGGTCATTTGGTACTAAAAGAGTCCTTTATTAAGGACACCTGGAATGCGATTTAAGCATTGATTTAATTAAGACAAATTTGGATTGGCCAAGATGATTTAAGAGTAATAAGGATTAGTGTATGTCCTGAAAGTCCAGTCAATTTAATACCTTCAATCATATTTTAAAGTGTCCATAAAAAACGCTACCATGAAATGGGTTAAAGGAGTAGGAACGGACAACCGCGAACAAGCTGCTTTCCGGTGTACACCAACGAGTAGAAGAGCGATCAGACGAGTTTCCAATCAAGATCCTTAGGCAAGTTTCGCGAGTTTTGGAAGTGATTCGCTTGGAATCACCGCGCTTTACGTCGAGATGGTTCTCCACTTATGGTTGGGGCATGAAAATATGCACGCTGAGTTAAGCTAGGATGAAGCATGTCACGGTCAACTTCTTAACTACGTGTCTGTCGACTTTCACTACGGTCACCGAGTAAAATCGCCGTCTCACAGTAGGAGAGCAATAGCCTAAGTTTACAACCGATAGGATATGCACCGGGATATGCACACGTGGCTTAGCCACCGGAGCCTGGCGCGTAAAATAATGGTGCTGAGCGGTTCACACGCTATATCTCATTGCATTCTAAACGTTAGCTAGAGGTTGGAAACACCTCAGCTACTGTGCCGTAATACATAGAAGAAAAAAGGGGAAAATGCAACAGGTGCAAACCAGCTGAGCTATCGGTAACGGATGGTCATCGTTCCGGTAAGCTACCAGCTGGCTACTATGCAGCAGGAAAAATAATTTACTGTGCAAAACTATATAAGGCTAAATAGTGAGATCGTGGTTGGAGGGGGAAGCTAAGAGGGATGGGGTGGGACAAAGAAACACAGAACGGACGCCAATGAGGTCGGCTCCTAGCCATATCAGCAAGTGTATCCAGCCAAACGTGTTCATCCTCCTTCGAGCCCCAACCAGGGAGTCGAGACGCTCCAACTGAGGCCAACTACGAAGTGAGGGCCTTCATTCCTCTTGACCAAATCATCGCTTGGCCACCCCTCTTCTTCCATCCACACCCACGACGTGCAAACAACGCAGGTCGCAGGAGGTGTTCTCACCAGATGTGAGCTAAATTACGAAGGCACCAGTGGTCGAACGTAACCAGCCTCTTTATGTCCACTGATCTAAGGGGCCAGGTTTCACAACCATACAGTAGGGTCGAACGTACCGCTGCATTGTACACTCTACCCTTCAGGGTGACAAGGATGCCGCACTTGCGCCATAAGTGGCTAAGCTCAGCAAAAGTGCCTCGAGCTTTTGCTCACAGTTCGTGATCTCATCTTCAATCCCACGGGCGCTGATACAACTTCCCAGGTAGTTGAATTTTTGAACGACTTCTAGCTGATCCCCACCAAGGGTCAGCGAATGAGGCGGTCTAGGCCAATCTTGCAGGAACGCTTTGCATTTCTATGGTGCGAAGCAACGCCCGAAGTGACGAACAGCCAATGCTAATCTGTCCAGTGCCGCTTGGCACGTTTGTGAGCTGTCAGATTAGGGCAATATTGTCAGCATATTCCAAGTCAAGAAGTCGATCTCCTGGGAGCAAATCCACACCTTCTAAGTCGTGTCCTCTGAACGCGATTTCCATGACTTTGTTAATAACGAAGTTGAAGAGGAAAGGTGACAGCGAGCATCCTTGTCTCACACCGATGGAGATATTAAAGGGTGACGACAGCTTGCCATAAACCCTCACTCTGCCTGAGCTACGCGCGTATAATGCTCAGCTAATATTTACATATTTCTGGTACACCTTTCCTGAGTAGACAGTCCCAAAGTGCACATTTATCCAACGAATCGAATGTACCTTTGATATCGAGCAACACAACGGTGGGCCGCCATTATATGTGACGGTGCTCCAACAACTGACGTAAAGTGAAGATGTGGTCAATGCAGCCACGACGTCGACGAAACCCGGCTTGCTTTTTACGAACATGTCTTTCACGAGTGTCAGTCAGTCTGTGAAGGATGACAGAGGTAAGCAATTTGAAGGCGATGTAGATCATACGGATTCCTCTATGGCTGCCACATTCCGATCGTGAGCTTCCCTTGAAAATTGAGACTATGACGGAGCGTCTCCAGTCAGTTAGGAAAGTTTACTGCTCCCACAGTTGCACTAGTAACTCGTATAAATTATCCACAAGAGCAGGTCCCCCGAATTTGAAGAAGGCTGAAGGTAGAGCATCTGGTCCCGCGGCTTTATTTAACTTCCACACTCTGATCTCACGTTCGACCTCTGAGCGCGAGGGTGAATCCAAATGGACAGCCCAGAGAGCGGGGTGATCAGTGGCTGGCGAGAAATCTAACGATTCCTACCGATTAAATTGCCTTTCAAAGTGTTCAGCCCAACGCTCCAAACGTTTTGACAAGTTGTGGATAGGCTGGCCACTCTCGTCACGTATAGTTTCACTAACACGAGGTCTCCTGCTGCCCGTTTCCCGTATCAGCCGGAATAATTTACGATCGTTACCAAGAGCAGCAGCCATTTCCATCTCTGAAGCAGGATGAGAGCATCAGGATTCGCGGCCTCACTTCAGACTAACACAGAATTTTGCCCAGAGCTCTTTGCGAGTTTCATTGTGTTCGCTTCCAGCCGGAATATGCCGACACGCATCGATAAGTTCCAGAGACCGCGAAGAGACCCAATGTCCATGTTGGCGATTAGACTTACCACATGAGAATTTTCCTGCTCCTAGTAAGGTCTGCTGAATATGAGACCAGTGAGCTTCATTTGCATCCAGTGAGCGCTTATTCAACTCGCATGACAGGGTACTTCGATAGGCACTCAGAAGAGCTGGTTTCACCAGTTGGCTGGTGTCAATGCGCTCCCAACGTCGTCTTGGGCGTACGCCAAAACGCATCCGCAGGTCAGCACATACAAGTGCATGGTTGGTCTCCACACATGTGCTCCAAATCGAGCGACAGTACTGGACGCAGTCTCTCCATCGGTAACTTATCGCAATGTGATCGATTTGCGCCCACACCTCGTTCGAGACTGGTGGGTGCCAAGTCACCCTCCGGAGGGTGCTGTGTCGGAAATTAGTGCTTGCAAGAAATAAGCGAGCATACTCACACAAATGAAGTAACCACTCACTGCTATCAATACAGGAGTCTAAACCATGTTGACCGCCCAGATGCAGTTCATCGGTGGACAACTTTCCAACTGGAGCGTTCAGATCCCCAGCCAACACAACAGTGTCCGAGCTACTTCTGTGTTGAAGGAGCTCGTTCAATTGGCGGTAAAAGTCGTCTTTTACCGAATCATCGCTACAGTTTGTGGGTGCATAGGCAGTGATGACGAATAGACACCTGTTAGTCCCGCGCGGCTTCGAAGCTTTGAACGAGCCAGCCAATCGGACCGCCCACATCTGGCTACTGATTGGAATCCAGTCGACTAGAGCAGCTTCAGCCCGGGGCCTCAGGGCAATGTCAACACATGTTTGGCCGGTGCTCGAAGCTGCATCGTCACCAGATAGGCGCAATGAGAAAGTGTTACTGGTGTCACCTGAAGGGGATTGCAAAGTGAGCATGGAGTTCGATTCTTCTAGGCGGGTCTCCGATAAGCAGCAAATATCGATCGTGAGGATCTCTAATGTTCGGGCACGTGCTGCCTGTTGACCGATCTGTAGCAATGTGCGTACATTGAGGCATGCCAATCTGAAGGATTATCGAGGGATGCAAATGGAAGTCGATGAACTGGGCTTGGCCGCTTGGTTAGACATGGGCTTCTCGACAGGGCAGGAATGGCGCTCCGCGTTCACATGTAAGTTGAAAATAAAAGGTAAAAGCCTATCAAAACAAGCTGGCGGAGGGTCAAGAATTAAGGTTTGAAAACAGGGGGATAAAACTGAAGCTGGAAAGGGACGGCAAGAGTGAAAAAGCGTAGGAGGGGAATAAGAAGATGGGTAGGCTTGAGCAGTGGCATCCAAACCCCTATCCACCCTGCTCGATGCAGCAGATAGGGCACCATTGATTATCCTCTGCGGTGGCCAGCGCATCAAGAAACTGTTTGAAGAGGAATTCATTGTATTGCGTGGGCAGGATACTGTCAGGTTGCCTAGGCCTAGACAGGTGAGCGATAAGGGTTCTCAACCAAAGCCTTTGGTTCAAAAACCTGACCGCAAGGCAGCGGGTTTGGCACTGGGCTACAAGGAGTCCGTTTTAGTAATAAGGATATATGGATATGAATGACACTGAAGGTGCAAAAAAGCACCACCCTGCATAATTCAATGGATCTCTGAAGCACGCAAATCATCGCACCACGGTAATGTCCAGTCTCATCGCTATATATATATATATATATATATATATATGTGTGTGTGTGTGTGTGTGTGTGTGTGTGAAAGCTACCTATTTAAGCTGAGGTAGTACCGAAACTTGTGCTACAACAGAAGGACGACGACCGCAAAGACAGATGAAGGCCTTCAGTCGATCACATTGCGTCAGAGGCGTAGTAATAAAGATAGTGCATCCACATTGCACTCACTTGCTTTCCATTATGCGTAACCGATTGGATAATGGTGCGCAACGTTTTGAACGAAACCGCGACATCGAGCAGGTGGCATGCGTACAGAAAGTAGTTGAAGTTGCCAAAGAACGACGCGGCAAAGTAGACAGCTAGGTATAAAAAGGACTGAAAAGGGATGGGAATTGAAAAAACGCAGCGTAAGAACACAAGTGTAATACAGATGGTTCGTATGGTGAGCTCAGTGAAGTTGTACTCACAATGTCGGTGAACACCACACCCCACTTCCACGTAAGGTATTGCATATCCATACCACTGAACCTGACGGGAAACAGGAGGGGTACGAAAAGTGTGTGTGAAAGTATGACAAGAAAGTGTGAGGATCAGGATAAAAGACGTTTTTGTGTGGAGAAAATCAAACTAAGAGGTTTGGGGAACTGAAGTGGTAGAAAATTCTCACTATTCCCGCAACCTCATCACTACTTGCAGTATCATAATTCCTTCCATCTACCACCTACATGCCAAGAAGGAACAACAATGGAAGTGACAGTGTGATATCAAAAATACCCATGAGGATGATAGCTGCTAAGTAATTACAACTGATATAAGGTAAAATTATGAAATGTGTGGAAGTGTATGAGGTGGGGACGATTTGCAATGGGCTGCAACTGAGGGCTCAAGCATAGGAGCCACTAAAATTCCTATTCACAGCGAATCAGATGCTGGAAGAGTGGTAAGCCTTCCAGTGATTTCATGATGGCTGCACCTGTACCTCTATCCACTGAAGCCATAAAAGTTTTCCACCTCGGGGTACATATGCGCAAAGAGCATAGAGCCGTTTTCATTTTCCGGCACAACCGTGAATAAAATCAGTGTCCGGCTCGTCTGCGCCCCGTGCGAGCAGTAACAAGGTAAGTACACGTCTGTTCTCGACACTAGGATAGATGGCCACAAAACCTCAAACAATCGCAGCTGGCGCTATATAAAGGCACAATTACATTGCATTGAACATGTTGAAACACCCGTGTGAATTGATTGTGACACGCAATCTCAATTAGGACTGTTATACACATTGAAGTGAATCTCAGTCAATGCTAGTACCAGGACGGCAGCTGAAACAGCTTAACTTTAGATGTTGCCCGTCCGCACAGTTTCTTGACGGTTTGAGACGCGAAGATGAGCTTCACCAATGAAAAATTTAACACTAAGTAAGCGCGCTTGCATCTGCTGCTGTACGAGTGAGTGGGTTAGTTCCCATCAGGTACCGGCCATGGGTCCCCGTGATATAGGTGGCATCCATAGTCTCCGGTTGCAACGAATCTACATTATTGCTACATGAATTCATGTACGCATGAATGATGTTTAGTGTGAAGACATGGGCCGCCCCAACTAACGGCTCCAGCTAGAGCGCTGCTTTAATTTGGACAACCAGGATCCACAAACATCTTCTCACATAGTGGATCAGAGGGGTTCGGTTCGGATTGATCTTAGCTGTTCGAATCAGATTAAGGGCATTTAAAAAGTGGGCATCATGCGGCGTGCATTAGGAGGCCTGGATCCTTTGATTTTTCAATAAGTTCACGACAAATACATACATACATCCGTGGAATATGCAATACCGGTCTGGCAGTCTGACTGAGGAAAGATCTCACGGCTTTGAAGACATCTCAACGCTGGACAGCCAAGAACGTCAGTCGCTTGTACCGTCTGTCTTTGAACAAACGCTAAGAATGCTCGGAGTCTTCAGCGGACAGTAACGGCGATTACGTGGGGACCTTATTTTGACTTATCCGATTGTGATGGGCCACAACCACGCGTGCCGGTATTTACTGGAGTTCAGTGGCAACAGAAATCTGAGAGACCCCTATCACATACTGGCAGAGCAGTACAGTCGTTTGGGATACCGTTTGAATTTCTTTTCCGTGCATGTTAGCCAAACGTGGAATATCCACTCGGAATATGTCATGTACGCCCCCACGATGGTGGAGTTCAAAGCCCGAGTTGATCGTGCATTTATTTCTCTGCACCATCACACGCGGCTAATTGCTCATGGACAAGCACGAATGGCTGCTAGAGATTTCACTGCGGGTCATCTCCCAAAATACGTACCACCTTATATGTGTTCACCAGGTGACACGGTATTTTACAAACGTCGCATTTGTCTTACTTCCTTATGGATTTGTAGCTTTTAATACGAATACCTCGGTGAGTCTACCGTTGTGAACTTACTTTTGCTGGCACATTTTCTATATTTTGAAATATTCACCATGACTAGCTTGCGGAACCTGTTAGGGTTTAGCTTTGTTACTTGTATTAAACCAAACGTACCATATTCGCTGCTCCCATTCCCATGGGGTGTTCGTCCATCCATTCGCATGTGCATGGGACGTGGTATGTGGACATGAAGCCGCGAAGGCCATCCCTTGTAGGTACGATGAACTGGTGGTTGTTCATGGTCACAGTGACAGTGACAGGTAAATTGCAGTGAGGTTGTTGCCAAGTGTGATTCGCAATGGCGACAGGTAGCTTCCATACGGACTGACCGGCAAGAAACTGATCTTGTTAAGTGACACCAGTGTGATTAGTGAGGTTCGCTGTAGACGGACACCAGTGTCGTTCTTAGTTTGCAACCGATGGTAGTTTAGATTCTCCCCACACCAAACACGCATGCGTGATTGTTAGTGATCAGTTGTGACTGTGTGGAGGAAACAATGACCGGGGCACCCCTGCTGAATGAACATGCTTTTCCTTAAAAGCTTAGGTCACCACGCGCCCGACGTAATAACACAGATGTGATGATTCAAAATTCATGCTGAGCAATAGGTCACAAGCATACTCTCAGACACCTTTGCTGCAAAACCCGTTGTAGGAAGGTGGAATATCAGCACCTAGGTAGTAGTAGTAGGTCCGTAGACGGAAACATAAGTGGGAAGTGTCTAAATTTTAGACCCTGCTGCAGCCTGGTGGTAACGTGCAGCACAGTAGTTCCCGGGGCTATGTGGGCACTACTCTCAATTAATTAGTGTGCGACGGAGAGCGCAAGCAGAACCTGATAATGGGGTTACAGAGAATCGTTTCTGTGGCGTCCGACAGCATGGAAGCAAGTGGTGAAGGCGGCAGGTAGAATGAAGGGTCTACCGGGATTGTGGTCCACTAGAAGGCTGACTTTCGTCCAACAATTCAGCTGGTTAAAGATTTGGTGAACTAAAGACCAGTTCATCTTATCGCATGGGAAACCAGTTCAGAGAAGCCTACATGGTGGGCGAGACCACAGCGGAAAGGACAAGATTAAAATGAGCAAACGACGGTGCAGGTAATTGACTGATAAGACGAAAGCTTGAGAGTCGCTTATAACTGGTTATCACACAATAGATAGGATTTAGACCAACAGTGTGACTGCTCCAATAGTCATGGTCAAGCAAGTTAAGCCCAGTTTATTTAAGCCGTCACGACCGGAACATGGAAGTGAGCTTGACTCAGCTACCATCAACTCGTGTCGTCATGATAGTCACATTAACAGAGGCAGTAATCATGGGAAAGAGAAAGACAGCAAGTAATTAGGCAAAATCCAACCAAAAAGTAAGTTATGGTCATCGAATAGAAAAATTAACAGTTGGAAAAGTAAAATGCAGTTCGGAGGAAATGTAGGGACTCGACTCACTGTGGTCATAAGCATAACTACGGCATCGAATAAACACTTTGTAGCTCGCCCTGATTAGAAGTCTCAGTAGACGGTATGGTAGGTGAGCAATGAGCATGAGATGAAGACAGAACAAGTGTATGCGATGCAGGTATAATAGAATGGAAAAGTTTGGGAACAAACACTAACCGGTAACCCCTAACACTGCCCATCAAATGGTTGCGACATATGTGAACAATACTCGATGGACACTGGTGCTCATAGACAATCGATTTATTGAAGGAATCAACGCTCTGATTCACACAGTGAAGCTAGGAGCAAAACGGCGTTACATGCACGCCGGGCTGATAGTCCACCTGGAGTAAGTGAAATCGAGGAGACCCCGAATAAGATCATAAGAGAGTAGCTGAACAGATTGCCACCGTCGCCGAAAGACGGGGGCGACTAGATCCCGACTAGTTTAGCCACCCTATTAGTTGGCGATTGGGACACAAACTGCCCTCGGACTGGTGGATGTTAACTGCCAACTCCATCTTCAACAGGTTCTAGGGGACGTCATCTTGAAATCACTGGAGAACTAAGCTCATCCGTGGTTCGGTTCAGTCACTTCAGTTAAACAAATATGGTCCGGGCACAAGAGTGTGGTGAATCCGATTGCCTTCACTCTCGTCACCAGGATAATAATTAGCGACGATAAAGGAAGGTAGAATGAAAACATAACATAGATTGATTTGGGAGAAGCGTGGGAAAAATTAATCCATATGGGGCACTAACAGTTGGAGGTAAGAAACCAAATGCAGAAGTGCCACTGATTTCGTGACTGTGTCATATCTGGGGATCACAAGCCCGCCTTGTAACCCGAAAGCGCGGGTTCTAGCCTGCTAAGAGACCGGGCAACCCTCAAAGTATCCTTAGCGCACGTGCGACTGGTGGTGGTTGTGCGGCAGCGAAATGTCGGTACTACGTACCGGTGTACTGATGATACTCTTTGGTATGATTGCGCGACGCCTGATAAGGTTGTCACTGGCACGGTTGGAGCACGCCTACGATAACGGCTTGGAACGCTGGCCAATGGAACGGAGTTGATTTGATGGCGTTAGCTTAGTCCGGTGAGAAGGAAATTTGGCGAGCGTGAGAACGATCCTAGCCACATGTATTCGGTTAGAAGATGCGCCCTCGTAACGGGCGAGCCTACGCACACGAGAGGGGGTTACGGTAGACACGCGCTAATGGGTTAGACACGTTGCCCGGCTATCGACGCACGCAAAATCACGTGACGCGACCGAATCCCAACTAAACGGCAAATAGAAAGGCAAGTGGACCTCTGAAGGCTCTTTTACGACCAACAAAGGGCGAAGCACAGCCAATGCTATGAGTTATTGTTAGTGAAAATAGCTACCACGACGATGTGATAGTTTGCAAAAGAACATTGTCAACAGGTGCGCAGTTGTGCCGCGCCTCGGAGTGACTGAAAACGGCTACGCTGTGGGGAGAAATTGGACCCAGCTTTCCACAGCAATTACGCCGGAGTTTGTGGCGCGTTTTTGCGGGGATATTTGACGGACCGGCAACACTCTTCTTATTCGTCTTCTTCATATCCCAGGCACTATCCAGCCACCGATCTACTTGACATATCACCGTTTCCATAGATAGGTGAGCCTCTGAAAAAACACCCCAGGGCTGAAACTACTGCCAAAGCAGATGAACCCATCAATCACTTCCATTGACTGTTAAGTGATAGTTATAACCGATGGCGTTGACTGTGCTTCTAATGGTGCCATTCGGAGAGCCACTTGTCAAAACATCTCAACATGTATGGGCGACCATATGGAAGTAAAGCCTAATTATCCTATGAATACATAGGTTCCTATGACCTTCACATAACGCCATACATGGAGACACTGAACCGATAACTGATTAACAAAGTCGCCCATGTGTGTGGGGACAAACGAACACTCACTAACGTCGTGTCAATACCACACTTGGAATCCTCTTAGTTTGTGTTTAGTCATCAACTGTGATAGAAGTAAGCAAACATAGAACTTTCGTTGTTCAGCTTCCGGTTAGTCTACCAACTTCAATGGGAACAATGTCCCCCATGATCGTCGCAATAACAATCGCACAAAATTGTATAACCACCTAGCAGCCATTGCTGAACTGCGGAATACCAGTTAGAAGATTGCCTGTCTACGCCCCCATGGTTAGGCCGCTGAATAAGGCACCACCAGGTAGCCGCTATCCATCACTAACTATAGATCGCTTCATGTGCTGATCAGTATGTCTGTCCGCACTGGTTACGGCTTAAGCTTTGGATCATGTGGTAGCTAGGATCTCTTTCTCAGACAGGCATCACAAGCTGCCCATTGGACGGTTTCAGTTTGGAGATCAATTATCGAGGTTTCCTTCAGATAAACATCAAAATAGAACAGGTGGTGCACGACCACTTTCATTGGACTGTCTGTCGCTTATGTTGGGGTTTCCAACCGGTGTCCAATTGCCTAACGTCCCATGACCAATGAGAGTGTCGACGACGCCAAAACAGCGTTCTTAGGCTCGCTAGTTTGAAAGCACTGCACGCGATTTCGAAAATTAGCCACGCTAAAAGCTTGGTACAATGCGTTAACATGCCTGTAAGTGGTATGGTGTAGGCGACAAATTCGCTTTGGGGCTCGAGTGACACGTAAAAACTCCTGGGTCCAACCAAGAAAGGAAACCGAGACGTTAACTACGTGTCACTCGAGCCTCTAGCGAATTAGTCGCTTACAGTACTTGAAAATATACGGTCAGTTCCGAAACCACCGGCCTTCACAATGTCCAGAAGGAATGCAAATAGTACTTGCCACCGTAATGAAACGTCACACCATACCGAGTCATGCCCGACGTGCCTCTTTTCGGACATCCCCGACCGGTGGGAGCTAGTAAGATCCAATGGGGGATGTTACAACTGTTTGAGACCACGTCATCGGGCTATGAACTGTCGAGATAGTAAGTGGTGCAAACTATCTTCATGTAAAGCGATGCATCATCCCCTGTTGCATGCGGTAAAAACACCTATTTCTCCGCAGAAGACGTCCAACATTTTTCATACAGCCAGCTTTTGAGAAACTCTGTCTTTGGGTAGCTCCGGTACTTTTAATGAGTCCCTTGAGATCGATGGGGACTTACGCACTGCTGAACAACGGTTCTGACGATAGCCTTGTCCAAGAAGACATCCTGCAGGAGGTCGGGTTAAAGGCTATTACTGCGTTTTTGAAAGTACGGACATTGAATGGGTTTGCATCTTTGAAAGAAGATCTTGCAGTTCTCCGTTTATCGACCCTGGAAGGCTCCGATTCGTTTACTGTTGAACGAGTTTATAGCATGAGGCGCCTACGCTTGAACCCCGTAGCGTGCCCCGTTAACCAAGTGGCGAGCCGTTGACCTCATTTATCTGATGTTCATTTTGCTCATATTAAAGACACTAGAGTTCGAATTCTTCTGGGAGCACATATCCCTGAAGTCCATTGGCAGCTAGAACAGCGTCGGAGCGGACCGCAACTCCCATTCGCTGCGAAAACCTTGTTAGGATGGACGTTACTTGGACAAGTTTGAAAGATCCAGCAAGCCTTTTATGACGGTGACCTTGAAGGGGTGAACTCGGACAGCCACTATTTCTCCGTAGACGACGAGAAAGCCCTATCTATCACTGAGAGTTCAGTGCGACTGGTAGATGGACAAGTAGAGTCAGTACTCCCTAGGAAAACTCGGCGAGCGGATATTCGCAACAACTATGAGTCAACTTGGCTCCCACTGCAGTGTTGAGCCACCGGCTATTGGGTAATCAATCGGTACGGGAGAAATACACCGAACCTGTAGCGGCGAACGTTAGGAAAAAGTGCGCCCGTTTACCGAAGCTCGATACATCTTGTGGACGAATGGAAGAAACAGCACACCGTTCATGTCGAATTCGATACATGCTTCAGAGACTTACAGCTACAGCTCTCCCGCGATGTGTATAACCGATATCCGCCTTACGAACCGAAAAAGTAAAGTCGTCGTAAAAATGTTCTCGTTTACCTCAACACACACCAGTCAGCCAGTGAGTTTCGTCGCTCCTTTCGAATGTATTTGAACGTTAACACGCACCCAACCTTTAAGACCCTTGCTAGCGACACGAATCTTGGCGCCCGTTATGTGAATGAGTATACAAGCTATTTAATTTGAGACGTAATTACTGGAGTAGAAGTAGCCTTGGGTGCTGAACAAGAAACATTTGGTGCAACCGGTTCGGATGTGCGGGCTATCTCAAGGGATTCTGACGATAATTCCCGCGGACGAGCCGACCAACATTGACCCATAGGAAGAATTGGGACTCTTCGTTTGGTGACGATGAACTGCGCAGCTGCCGCGTTGCAGGAGAGTTTGAAGCCACACTTTCCATCTGACTCGCACCGCTTTTCACTTGCTAAATCTACATCGCCCATCGGTCTGTCTCCATTGATTCTATGGGGGAATTTCATTGAGATAAGAGAGCCTTTACCCGCCTCCGTAGTTACGCCTGCCTCAGTAACTTCCAATGCTATATCTAGGTGCACTAGGTGTCCATATTCATCACTTTTGGGTAGTTGCTCACTTTGCTAAGGGTTAAAACGGAACGCTATCCAGAACAAATCGCAGTTGGCTTCTTCAGATGAGCCTTATCGAACTTTTAGTGATGGTGTCTTCGAATTGTTGAAGGATAGCGCAGTTGCAACAGACAAGTGGGATCCTGGTGGTACCGCGGATTTGGTCAGTCCATCAGGTGCGGCGACGAATCTAGTCAAAACCAAGGATGAGCTACTCGAATCCGACTGGCGGAAACATTGCTTGTTAGAAGGAAATGACATGCATGAAGAAATAGTTCCGGCCGTTGGCTCTCCGCAAGTGGGAAGCGGATCTTCGAATCTGTTGCTCCAGGGAGAACCACTGTGAGTTCAATAGCCGAAGCGGGAAGGATCAGGCGTACCGGTGTAAGTCTTGTGACCTCCCATGGTGGATGGAGCTTCGGTAGGGCGATCCAGAACACAAGCGTGTAACAATCCTTCGCTGGAAAATCCGGATCGGATTTTGTGGGGCAGTGTAATCGGAGTTTCCTATCTACCTAAACATTTACGTCTGCCAAACCCCTGCAGGAACGCTGTTGCTTACCAATATTGTCGTTTGGCGTTTCACTACCCCTGTTACCTCTATGTCCGAAGTACGCCTCACTCCTGTCAACGGCATCACCCCACGTTTGAACTCTGTTCTGCCCCGCTTGTCTTTCTACCGTCTCTTCGTGCACCCACACCCATTCATTCAGGTTTCACTTCAACCGACCTTAACATCACCCAATCGTTCGTACGCCCACTCTTGTGTTGTCTCTTGATACGAAGCGATCTTGTATTGATCTGAGTAGAGCCGCATTGGTCGGCGCCATTGGTGAGATTACACGACCTATCTGTATATTATTACATGTTTCCCTAGGCTCTGTGCGAGATCATTTGACTGTATTTTGGTTCATGGATCGATCTGGGCGATTTGACACAGAGACCGGTTTCGCATTGAAGGACCTTTGGGTGCATTTGAGTTTGGGAATCATTATTGACTGTTTTTCTATGATTATTTGTTCAATAGCACCGTTATCTCAGTTCCGGTTTTGTTTCTTGTTGATTACCGGGCGGGATACGCGTTGCTTTACTTCCCAAGCGTTTTAAACACACAACTATCCTATTTACTTATTTAAGCAGTTTTATTCTCTCTATATAGTAGGTTTGTAGTATATACCGGTCTGGTGTACGTTTATATACCAAATATTCAGAAATCAAATGGTCAGTTTGCTCTAAGTCTGTCAGCCAATAGCTCAGTGGGACTTCTAACCAGGATGAAGTATCCGAATTCGGATAAATCCTGATTATTCTGACTACAAAGCAGATGAAAAAGAGAAACGGTGAAGGAACGGTCAAGACGAGCGTTCATCATTGATTCCCACATTACCCCGTGAGTGGAAGTAAAGATTTCAGTAGAGGAAGAAATTGCTTGGTGTAACTTCGGAGACAAGTGGTGCTGCAAACGGTTCGCTGAATCAAGGATACCTTCCAGATCGAGGGAGTGACTGGCGGAGGCATGCGGAATGCTCGAGGAAACTTTAAGAGGTAGCTCAAATTGAGGACAGGCCACCATAACCCATCAATGCGGAGGCTAGCCTGAATAACGGCTGGTCAATCAAAGAAAGCGGGTGTTCGTCAAGCTATGGAACATAGTGTGCACACCCGGTAGCATTAATACTCACATGCCCAAGAGTGAACTGCTTCTCTTAGTTGGATCTGGTGCCGGTTTGTCCATTCCCAACAGAGTGGTGATTTCATCATAGTCATATTGCACTGAGTACTTGTTTCGCACCTTCTTCTTCACAAATTTACCCCAATACATTTGTGGGAAAGAGGGGGTGGGTAGAACCAGCTTATCCCAATGAGCACGTAAATTATCATCTGCTGGCTGCGTGGTAATCCACATCCCTTCGAATTCCAGCATCCGAGATATTTCCTTCTCACGTTTGAAAATGACTAGGGGGACCTGTGGGGTGCGAGTGAAATGGGTGGGTAAAAGCGCTCATGCATAGTGGAGCAGATTCAGTTTGGTTGAACATCTCGTTTTACAAAATTGACCAAAGTTGTGCAAACGCCATTTACCCAAGCGACAGAGTGCTAAATAAGATAGTTACACACAAGGATCACGAAACAATGTGTGAGATAACCCTCGGAAGCATTTTGACTTTGTTTCGGTTAGGCTGAATGCGCATAACAGCCACCAAACATCTGCTTAACTCTTATAGCTTACCAACTATGTTTTGCGATAGCATTAGGAATATGACAAACGTATACCATTTGTGCGAGTCTGAAATAGCCCTATGACTAAAGATAAAGTTGATACGAGTGCCATGTTTGCTAGTTTCGATGTCATCTCGTGTGGGAAGTCACTGGGGTGAAAATGCCGAGCAAATACACCAGGCAAGCTGATACAAAAAGTCACCGTTTGGAAAAGTCTGAGGATGCAATCGAGGTCAGTGATTAGTATGGGGATAAGTGACTTGCCTTCAAGTAGTAGTATGCGATCAGCATGCTGAACGATAGTAAGGAATGAATCACCGCAAGTGTGGCGATCAATGGAGCAATGTACGAACTCGAATCCGCCAAAGTAACCCACTCCTCCAGTTCAACGCCGTCACCTCCATCCGTGGCATGTGCACCTACACCGTCGTTTAGAATCTGTCCTGCTTGAATCAACGTGTCCGCAGTACCGTCACCGTTGGCCTCCTCCACACCGCTGTGGCCCTGATGTACCTAAAAGAGGAGATGATTGGGTATGGAAAATGGTTGAATAAAAAGAATCAGTGAATGAGTGTGCATAAAAGAGTGGCTTGAACAAGAGCAGCAAGTTAAGAAAACATTTCGCCTGCTCACCTTGAAGAATAGTAGCAGGAAGTTAATGATGAAAGCTAGCGTTAATGCGCTGATTTTGAATCGGTAGAAGTTGCTCGCAAACAAGGAGATAACGTAGCCGCGGGTATTGAATTGCGGGGTTTTGTCCTCTTTGTCAGCCTGGCCCTTCGTCGAAACTCCTGGTTGTCTGATCGGTTCAAGGATTGCTTGGTGTGTACGGACACCGGGGACGGAACAAGCAGTTTGCAAACCAGCGGGGCTATCTGTCGATCAATTTGGGAGAGAATGAACAGAACATAGTATGAGCAATCGCAGGCAGGTTTATGCTTACGGATGCCTTAGTGAACATTAGCAAATAGACCACTTATGACTGACATCAGAAGTACGCGAAGGAACCACTCAAGTTCCTAATCCAAGAGAAAGTGATGTAGTAAAGCATCCACGCATGTGTGAGTATGTGCTTGGCCCTCCTAAAACTGCACTCACCGTGTCGATTCGCTCATCCAACTCAATGCGTCCATACATACGTGGGCTTAGTATGTTGTCCCTGTGGTATTTGGTGAATGGTATGCAAGGACGGCTTGTGTGCGTATCCCAAAGGGAACTGTCACCTTGCGTAACTACGGTGCTCTGTGGAATATAGTCTGATGGCAACATTTGTAACTCCTATAGACTAACGACGTATTGGTGTGAGAGAAATGTGAATGCTAAAAAAGATGGAAGCAGAGTAAGGTGTGGACAATAGTGAGATTCAGTGGAGACATCACATCTTTGGTACCACGTTGTGTAAGTTATAGGAAGTGGTCTGCTGTTTTGCTTAAGACGATAACCCACACATCGCAGGCCATGCGCTTATGAAAAATGCTCCTCCACAGAATTTAGCATACACCAAGTGTAAGGCACACCCACCTTCAGAGGAAATGCCTAAATTGGCTCCAGAACGAGAACTGGTGGCCGTCCCGGTGGAGGAAGATGCAGCAGCTGCTGCACGTATTGCAGCATAGTGTTCCTCCATGGCAGCCAACTCCGTGGGATCCACGCGCTCGAGTAGTAACTGCTGCTCCTCTGACAGTAGCCACCACTGTTGTTCCTGTGGATGACATTGAAAGACCCAATTAGTGAGGACTATCGAACTGGAAACCGATGATAGAATGACCCATTACAAGTAAGTGCGGAGACATGCTGATGTTATATAAGGGCAACGAAGTTTTCCCTTCCTGATTGCACTATAATTATGTAAGCCAGCACAGTTGACGCGGGCTTAGGACATGACACACAATAAGGATGTGTCCGACCACATCATAGTCGTCCGGATGCCAGCAATACACCGCCACCGAGTGACGAACAGAGAAGTAACTTCGGTAGTGTGGACAATCGATTTTGTACCTAAGCTCGGTATCCGCATACCTTTGCTACAACTGATATTTCACCCAGAGCATCGACTTGCACTGCAAGCCGCCATCAAACGAGGTGGCATGTAAGCTGCTAAGGCGATTACTGATTATTAGTGAGTAACAGGGGGATTCATTGTGTTTGTAAGGAAGACTACGGGCCAGCCCTGTCCCCTACATGTTCATACTATGCATGACAATGGAGGATGAGCCGCGCTATATCGCAGTTAGATATCAAGCATGACGGTCCGTTGCCGTCACCCATGGCTCAGTGGCATAAGTCGCTAGCTCGTGAGAGTAAGGTTTGGGTTCGAATCCGGCAGGATTCGGTGGGTGCGCGCTACTGACAATTCTCAGTAGAATGAAACGGCCGTCCAGCGCTTCTCTGGATGTGTGGTGGCTGTCTGACTGAGTCTAGCGGCGATGAATCTTCTCAGGAGTGTAACTTATTGTTGCAAACTCACGCCATCAAGAATTCTGAGTGATTGACGACCGGTGTGAGATCGAGTGGGGTACACACTCGACAAGCTGCAGTTTTAATAAATAGCGTAGTGAAAGCAGATGAAAAAGTGATGGGAGAATGCCTTAAAATAACCGTCATTGTGAACCAAACACACTTGGTATCCGGGCAGTTCCCATGGTGCGATGGTCTTCGGGCCCCCACTTCGGCTGCTCTCATCGGAAGCCATTGCCACTATGATCAACCAAACGAGTCGGATGATGAATATGCAACCACGTCCAAGACAAATTAGAATGCCGATTATCAAGCCCAGAAGGGCCAGAGCAATATCAGATAGGCTCATCTGGCGGAGTTTGGTCCATCCGGCGGCCAAGTGCGAAGGTCGGATACAAGTGAAGATTGCAGAAAATGCACGACCAATGCTTGCCAGCTGGGTGATTTCGAGAAATCGATTGAACGCGGCGGCCTATATGGTGTAAGAAAGATAAAAACTAACAGATAAAAGAAAATGAATCGGACAGAGTTATCGTGGTTGCGAGAGCAACAACAGTGTTCGGCTTACAAGGATGTAACCAAAGTATTACAAGAACAACCATGGACGGCTAACAATCCTCCCGAAAGGTTCATGAAAGTGAAATCAGTTCAAGAGTAGTCTTGTAGCTAAGGGAATAAGGTTCAGACCAGAGTGACGACCAGAAGATAACGTCCCTGTTGACACTAAAAACCGCACTCCGAATAGCGCACTTTGAGCACATTACAAAGCTGAATGCCGAAGGAATGGAATGTTCTTGCATGAAAGGGTATCAAATGTACGGAGATGCTGAGTGCGTCCGGTGCTTGCTAGGACAAAATTCGCATCTGGCCCTAGGGGACAGTGGACACTGGGTTAGGATCGACTTGATCCAAGAAAAGACGAGGTGGGACCTGAAGCCTGTCCTCCACGAATCCGGATCAACAGGTTTCTAATTCTTCAGGCGCGCCCAGCGGTTCCTACCGCGGTCTGCGCGTAGCCTTTACTAACGTATGCAGTCTGATGAACAAGCGTGATGTGCTGTACGACTTTGTAAGCTCTCAGCGACCAGACGTATTAGGCCTTGCTGAAACATGGTTAACCTCCTAGGTAACCATCCAAGAAGTGGAAATCCCCGGCTACTCATGCTTCCGCTATGATAGGCCATCAAATGACCGCGGTGGCGTTCTAGTTTACATAAAGTCTTCCTTGTGTGGTAGACTAGTGAGCGCCTACCAAAGCGCTGATGGTCTATGTGAGCAGTTATGGTGTACCATTCCCCTTAGATGCTGCGAGTTGCTCGTGGGCGTGGTATATCGCAGCCCACTGAGCCGCAGTTTGGACTGGTTGCCGCATGTCCGCAACCACATGAGTCGTTAGATGTTTCTACTCATAGGCGATTTCAACTTGCTCCGAATGCAGTGGCCTGAGACTGAACTTCTCCTCGGCCACTGGTAAGTTGAGAAGAAGTTTACACATCAACCAACCGAAGCGCATTACTTCGCGCGCGACTCCATCGTGCTTAGACTTTCTTTTGACTAGCTGTAAGCAGCGTGTGCATAACATTCGTCTTAGAGCCTCTGGGAGCGAGCGACCACTTGATGATCATAGGCAGCTTAGAACTACGGCTGTCGTATTCTCCCCCACTGGAGTCAGCCTTCAACTATTGGAAGGCGGGCTTTAATGGCCTCATTCGAGCAGCCAGCCAGATAGACTGGTCTTTACCACAGGATTCATCTATTGAAACCTGTTGGTCTATCATTAAAGTGGGAGTGAAATCGTTGTGCGCCCGATTTGTACCACTCAAATTTCGGAAAGTTGGGCCAGTCAAACCACATTGGTTCGAAAAAGAGTACAACAAAATGGTCAGACGGCGACGCAGACTATGGAACAAATTCGTGTTATCTGGCTCTGATGAGGAATACAATGTGTACAAGGTACAGTGAAATCGCTGCAACAACGCGAAAAGAAGAAAACGCAGAAGCTTCGAAGAGGAGCTTGCAACCGCCGCAAAAACTGCTCCCAAGAGGATCTTCGTATACGTGAAGCGGCGCCTGAGGCCTGTAGCCAATGTCCCAGTGTTAGAAGGCCCAGATGGACAGCCCCTAACCTCGAGTATTGATCGTGCGTCCGCGCTAGCGGCGCACTTCGCCTCGGTTTTTGCAAGTGACCAGGTGTCTGTAACGAGTTCGACGAGTACCGCTCCAGCCGAACTTAACAGCCTGGATTGCAATACTGAGGATGTACGCAAGCTTCTAGCAAATCTTGACGGGACGAAGCCTGATGGTCCAGATGGTATACACCCACTGATCCTCAAGTTCCTATCGGCCATCATCGCGCCTTCTGTAACTGAACTCTTTAACAGGTCACTATCCACTGGACTGCTACCAGACGATTGGAAATGCTCAGTCGTAAAGCCCATACCGAAAGGTGGTAACCCAAGCAAAGTGGAAAACTACCGGCCGATCTGCCTGACCGCCGTTTTGGCAAAGACGATGGAGAAGATCGTGAAGAAGAGCCTTCTGCAACTTCTCGAGTCGAAAAACCTGTTGCCCTCCGCACATCATGGTTTCACAAAAGGTCGCTCGTGCATCACCAACCTACTGTTGGCGAGGCACAAATGATTACAAGCGCGGAACCAAGGCCAATCGGTCGACGTCATTTACATTGATTTCAGTAAGGCGTTTGATAAGGTTAACCATGTAGTGCTCCTTGACAGGCTGAGGATGTGCGGTGTTAGTGGTTCGCTGCACAAATGGATCAGAAATTTCCTTGTTGATCGAAAGTGGAGGGTCCAGGTGGACAACCATCTAACTGACTGGTATCCATCGAGCAACGGCCTGCCCCAACGCACTGTACTGGGGCCGATATTGTTTCTGATCCATGTAAACGATGTGCCTCAGCTACTCCAAGCACCTTGTGCGTTGTTCGCAGATGAGTTGAAGGTGTGGAAAATAATCCACACACTCAATGATTGTGATTTACTTCAGCAAGATCTCGACAGCCTCTCGACATGGTCTGCAGAGGTTAACCTTTCGATCAACCCTGCCAAGTCGCAATTTATGAGGTTGGGTAAGTGTGAGCACAGCCGAACGTACACAATGGCTGGTCAACCGTTGCATCCCGCACCTTTCGCGCGCGACCTCGGTGTGCTCTCACGCTGCGACCTAAAGTCCATTGACAACACGAATAGGCTGTACCAAAACAGCCTACGGATGCTTTGGGCGCTCAGGCGCAGCTTCAGCGCTTGGTCCGAAGTGATTGCTACTCGCCTCTTCGTCTCGATAATACGACCAATGCTAGAGTACGGCTCTCCCGCGTATTGTCCCATCACCTTGGGCGAGGTAGAAAAGCTTGAGCGGGTGCAGCATGTAGCCACCAGGCTGATTCCCAACTTACGAGGTAGGCCATATGAAGATCGATGTAAGAAACTAGGGCTGTACACCCTAGCTTATCGTCGGCTGAGGGTTGACCTCATCATGACGCACCGGATATTACATCTGAGTGATTACCCCATGTTGAGACAACTGCTTCATCTGCGCACACCAAGCTGCACGCGAGGACACCGGTATAAACTTATCGTACCGAAGTTAAAGCGGGTCGCTCACCAACTCTGTTTCGAACGTAGAGTGGTGAATACCTGGAACGACCTGCCGCAGCACATAGTAGAGGCGAACTCAGTGTCCGAATTTAAGAAGCTCCTTGACAAACACTTCGCAGAGACAAAATATAGAGAGCAGAACGATAAATAAGGAGTATATGTCCAAGAGCGACGAATGATGCAGCTACACAGAGAAATCTCTACTCGCTGCTTCGAACCAGTATTCAGTATTCAGTATGTTGAAGCACTCACACCGGCACAAAGCGTGACTCTCAGTACAGCAGACTACGGCAATCCAAGCCAAGGTAGTAGTACGGGATGGAATGCTTCCTACTTGTGTGAAGCACCGAGAGTGTCGATTAGAAGAGAATGACATTCTTGTGTGATCTGGACAGCTGGGCCAAAAGGTCAAGTGGGAATGAATGACTCGAAAAGACGACAGTGACAGCGTTCTTACTAGGCGCCAGGCAAGCGCACGCCTCACAGCTTGCAATCATTTTCGCCACAGATTGGCAGACGCCCTGACACAGGCACAGCGACCACTGGCCGAGTGACCTTTTATCACAGTTAAATCTTTGCCCTTCCAGCTGCTGTATGCATGCGTCCGGATCGGTTTGTTTACCGCCAACAATGTCTACATGTGTCATCTTGATCGAGCGCCAGTGTATGGTGTACCACGCTCGATCACCTCTTCCACACTGACTGACAAACGGCGACTAGGTATACTTATAGGAGAGGAGGGAGGTGGAGTTCAAGCGGTGCTGGCCAGTGACGTAAGCTATAGCTTACTAAACGGATTGTGTGCCTCACAGGGAACAATAACAACTCGCATCAACAATCATAAGTGCAATCCACAAAGCGGCACGTAGTCAAAAGTGGGATAATACTGTAAGAGAAAAAACCAAGTTCAGTAAGTAGTCAACCGATATGACGCTGTCAAGCTGGTAATTTGCTGGCAGCCGAAAGCGAACGCAAGATGCAAGCCGAGATATGGGGTGAGATGGGGGCTGAAAATGTTGTGGTACCGATAAGCAGATGGCCAATCGAACGCCACTGGAGATTTCGCGAAATACCGGACAGGTGCAGTCCAGCCCGATAAAGGGTGAGCATGTCGTCGGAAGCAGATTGGTCAGCCAAGCGGCAAATGGTTGGCGCACATCCGCGTCGAGCTCTGCAAGCACAGCCAGCAATCATCCACTGAATGTGCAAGTGACCAATCAGGCGCCAGCAGGTTCCAAAAGCACAGGCGAAGTGTGTGCTTATTGGTGCACACTTGAGCCAAGATTTGTGGTACTGGACCGAGAGAAGAAGCGCGCGGCCTGATGGACGAGTGCCCAATCGAGCCAATTGCACGACCCATCAAGAAAGTCAAGGTAATTTTAGACAGGATGAACGTGGCGAGCAAGCGTAAACCAATGGAAAGGGAGCCAGCGACAGAATGCAAATAACAAGGATGAGCCAGTGAAGCGGACTGTTGCAAATAGTGTATATACTCTATAAATATGCGAGCGTAATCTTAATAAGCAACCTCGTGATCGCGGACCAGTCTTCTTGTTTCCCGGAGGGCTACTCGACATGGGGGATACGACCCTTTCGTTTGTCGCACATACTCATTCGTCCCAGCTGGCGTTGTAGGCGCTATTTGGTCATATAATTGCGTGCATGCTTTGAGTTACCTGTCAAGAATGTGATTGCACGACCCAACACGGAAGTGATTCGCATACGGTGCGACAGCAGTGGGTGACTATGTACAGTTAGAAACCATCAAGACGGTTGATCGGATCGGGTATCATGCCTATTATATACCATGTATCACTACCAAGTACATACACAGTCGGACGCAGTTGTCGTAGGTGTGCGAATGAAGTTGAATAGATGTGTAACGATTGGTGAGTGCATTGATTGTTCGACCAGTGAGTTGAACGAATTCACTGAATATAGTAGTTACTCCACGATCGTTCGCACTACGGATAAGGGCAAGTTGGACGGTGTCCAGGCTACCACTACAGTAATTGCAGGGGGGAGGTTCCCGAATTGGTGGATAGCCGGAAACATCCGTTTCCGCGCTGGCCCACCTTTGCGATGGAGAAAAATAAAGCAACGTCTGCACTTGAAGTTAGACATTTGATATTTCGCACTAGACCATCCAGCCACACACATACAGTACAAACCAAAAGAGATAACACAGGTGCAGGTGAAAACCACGATTGTCCCAGAGATGGCCCTCAATCTATCAACAGGCATACAATCAACGAGTAGGTGGATACGGGTGATAGTACCCTAGGATCCTTGCAAAATCAATAGACCGTAGATACAGTGAGCGCCATCAAGGCATGCGCAAGGGAGGTCGGTGCCTGCCGGTCACTCACTCATACTAAATTGGGAAAAGTATCCATACCGAACATAAACAGTGTGACGGCTCAGTCGCATGGTATGCTGTGATGGAAGAGCTCGTTATGATGCGGTCTGAAAGACTCGTCGCCAACAATAACAAGTGGCATTCGCGTAAAGCGAATTGGATGCACGTGGCCAACATTCGCATCGCCTGCAGCCGAGCCTGACATACCACATCGAAATAAGTGTCAGCGATGCACGCTCAATCATTCAATTATAGCTGGAGTACAGCCACTAAGTAAGTGGTGCACCACATCAAAGGCAGTTCGGTAGAGGCATCGGACAATCAACAGACAGAAGGAGTGGTAGATGACGGTCGTAGTCATAGTTGAGTCCAGTGACAAGAAGCAGCACTTCATGGTAGTCAGTGAACCGCTACCCGTAGCACAGTACAATACGTTTGTGGTTCCGCCGTGTTTTCATTTTCACCGGTTAGAAACTAACGAGGACAATAAGACTTGAATAGACAAATGGGTGAATGATAAGTGTATCTGTTTATTTGATAAATGGATGCATCCACGAATGCGTACATGCCAGTCTGTACATAATATGAACCCTCAAGAAGAAAACAGTTAATGTTGGTAGCTCAGGTTGTTCAGATGGTGGTCTGAGTGTTCGCTGAGCTCCACCAAAAACAGTTAAGTCGAAAGAATGAATTATCCACTTGCATAAATCTCACAGATATCACTTGGTGTAAGAATTGCGTCTCAATCCCCACCCTACTTGAGTATCTTCGTGTCAAATTGAGTTGAACTTCGCGTGCGCGACCATGGATGGTTGAATTTACCTTGCGCGCGTGGGTACTTGTAAGAAAACCAGTCTGGCGTGTACCGAAGTTCAAAGTGAGTCACGTGCCTCCGTCTAACATGCATAGACAATCCACACCGCGATTGCTCTGGCGGGTCAATAAGCAGAGTCAGCCGCGTTCAGGTACACAGTGGCGTAGCAACTACCTTCGCCACCCAAGACCGCGACGAGATTTTCGCCTTGACTGAGAGCAGATTAAGCGCATGAAGGCCACACAATCGGCTCATGGTAAAGTGAACGTTTTCGATGAAATGGATGATTGTTTGGGACATTAAATGTGGTGGAAGTGACCACAATGGGACAAGTAGGGAATTTACTAGGAATAACGCTCGCACAGGTGTGACAGATGGCGCAAATGTGTTGTTGGTCCTACGGAGTAACATTAAAATATTCAACTCTCAGCTTATCCAGATATTTTGCTTTTATATTTGGTATCAAACAATCGATGGTAGTAAAATTGCTACCCTCTGTTACATGCCGCCGCGGCGGAGCGCTCCCTCCACCACTCCCCCCATGCTACGCCACTGCCGGTACGAATGTAGGTGCGATGTGCGACAGACTCACTTTGGTCAACGTCAGATCCGCCTCGTCCCCATTGATCTCCTGTGCGTGTTGCATCTCAAAAATAGTATCTTCACAGAAGTTGACAAAGGATTCGAGTTTTTCTTTATCTCCGCTCTCTCCGGCAGCTGAATGAAGAAATGATCGCTTGGACTCCTTAATCTGCGGTGCCTCCCACTGATCTATGTGTTGCTGCCGGATCTCAAAGTACACGCGTTCAATACGTCCATTGGGGCCAGCAATCTCAATTCTGCCTAGGTGGGGTTCGAACACGTCCAATACACCACGAGCCTTGCCAACCAAACGCTCCAACCTGAAAAGAGGAGTGTCACGAAAGTTACAATTGATTAAGAAATCCGGCTATATATCGCCTTCTTGAAAGAGAGAGATGTAGGAAAAACAGATAAATTACATCTCCATGAAATGAAGGCCCCAAAGTCAAAAAATCGAGGACTGACATCGAAGCGGATCTTGCGACCTCAGTTAACCCAAAGTAGATGTAAGAATATTCAAAACGCAGATGGAATCAGCACTAACAAAAGTGATGACCACAGTTCAACTGAAAGTATATCATCATTCCGGTCAGGGCTGAAGGTTTCAATGCAGCCGTACACCAAGTAGTTGAAAAACCCATCCAAAGGATGTACACTTTAAGCTAACTTTAGCAGAGTGGTTTGGTAAACGTGGAGCCAACGACAAAAGGTTCCGCCACAATGGCTATAACTGATAGATCCAAGTGGAGACCGGAGCTGTCGGGGGTCCCGCTTGAAGTACCGAGCACGAAGTCGGCTCGGAGAAGAAAAATTATTGAGAATGGATAATGAGATGCGTAGGGAACCAGGCAAGTCTGGTAACGTTTACTCAGATAAAATGACCGGTCTCTCGTTGCTTGGCAAAAGCCTGTGGAACGAAATGAATCCAGCACCGTGTGTTCAGCGCAACTTTTTAGCTAAGTAAACTACTTTGGCGGCATAAATTCCAAATTTAAACCTTTTCGCTCGCGTCTATTGTTAGGTATAAGCTCACGCCGAACATTATTAGTAGTACCGATTGGACAACAAAACTCTATAGACATGACAGTGCTTGTGGATAACATTATAAACGAGTCCGGAACAAAATGTTACTCCATCAAGGGGTGCTTACCGTGGATCAAAAGGCACATGCTCCGACAGATTGGTCAGCAGAAGAGCGAAGTTGAAACCGATATCCTCGGCTGGATTATAAAAGCGCTCGGTGAACTCCTTGAAATCAACTTTGCCATCAGCATTGGTGTCGACACAAGCGATGATGTAGCTGATTTCTTCGCTAAAACATAATAGACTCGCTGTTGAGATCGGGAAAACCAAGTGGATAGTATAATGAACAAACGTCGCCAGTCGTAAGATAGATGAGTGAAAGCAAGGAATGACTCACTGCTTTGTGCATCCCGCTCTCGTGTCCGAGCTCAAGTGGAAGTGGAAGTGGACCTGAGATAGGTGAATTGTGCTGTAGGACTAGGACGAGTCGATCAAAATTGGTGTCACAGTCAGGTTATTCGTGTACACATGCTGGAGAATTCCCAAAGTCGGCATTCAGTAAAGCAGTTCTTTCACTTTCTCTCCATATTCTCAGTCCGCATTTGCCCGACTTATCATCCTACCTTCTCCAACCCTCACCCCAACTCCAACCCCAGCAAGTGCCCGACTTAATGGTATACTACCGCGGAAAACGTTAAAGATCGGATACTGGAACGTGTGCGCATTACAGGTGTAGGGAATTAATGTGATGCCTTACATGTGCGACAGCCAGAAGCTGACAAACTAGTTTATGTATCTGTAGTTTCGAAGAAAGCTGCACAAGTAAAACCGACAGAAAAGCCAACTATAGGACATGACAGCGTGAACAAAAATAGGCTCAGCGATAAACCGCCCATTCCTCCGCTGATCATGCTCACGAAAGGCAACGACCTCATCCATGGGCGGACATATATTGGTCATCTGTCACCCGCTCGATCCAGACTGTGTTCAAAGTTGTGCCGAAGTGCGCTAACGGCCATTTCATGTGAGTGGCTGTCTGCTACGAGTAGCATCATGAAGTCCGGATTGTGCGGATGTAGAAACGGTTATTAGTCAGTCTCTTGTTGAAGTCGACAGAGGGTAATACATTTACTCTACACCAATGCCCATTGTATATATACGTTCGTGTCATCGTTTTGATACTGAGCAGACAACAAGAAAGGTTTGCAGTCAAAGTCTTTAGCACAGTGGTGTCGCTGGCCGGGATAACCAAATAGAACATGCTTGCGGGCAACGATACATTCCCCCTGCTAATAACATATGTCCTTCGGATTTGCTTGTTCTGGAGCTACCTCCCTCCCAACGCCTGTAGGCACGATGAAGCAAATCATGTAAGTGTACAAAATAACCAAGTCAAAGGTTTTATTCACATAGTCTTGTTCAAATCAAGTCACAACCAGCTTAAAGAAGCTACACACATGCAAAGTTGAATTTGGAGTCGCGACACGCAATGTCTATTGAGACCTCGGTTCACTTTGAACTAGACCTCGATTATTCCGAGCACATGGACCGTATCGGAAAGGGGAGGTGTTTCGGTGTTGCTCCTCCCAACACTGACACCTCATGACCGGTTTCCTCATGGTTTGGACTCATCATATGCAAGTGGCCTTAGCTGGGATGGGACCTGGGGCCTAGTGGTTAAAATTTTGATTTCTGTCATGAAAGTTTCAATATTGTTTCAGCCTGAAAAACCTTTGGATCAAGTTTCCTCGACTCAGCCATCGAACTTTACTGGGGTACAACAAGTCACCATAATCGGCATCAATTTCTTGTAGAAAGTCTTTGAAGGTTATGTGATTAAGGGCGCTGGTCAGTATGAAATTCACAGTGCTTACTACACTTTCCAAGTTCAGCACCTTATCCCACAATACCCCTTAGTGAATTATGCAGAGCAGTTCAATCGGCATTGAGCAATCATTGGATTCCTCGACTTTATGACTCAGCTTTGTAATTGGACCGTTACGTCTTGCAATCATATTTTTAGCTCCGTCCCTGTCACTTCATACAACTTTGCCCACGGCAAATTAAGCTCAGCAATAGTTGTACTGACGGCACCAAAGAGACCTTCTGCTATGGTTGTGCCATGCATGCTTTTCAATGTTGCAAGTTCTTCGGTAAATTCGAAAGCATGTCTAATTCCCCTAATGAAAATTGACAAGTGTGAAGTGTGGGCTAAATCTTTTGATTCCTACAGTGCTACTGAAAATTCTTGAAACTTCATTGCTTTCTGTGTAGTTGTGTCAACAAGTCCCGTCCAATGCCCACCACACGTCCCGTAATGGTTTGACGTGAAGGGCCCACTTTTCTGGACAAATGGCCTCGAGAACAGCCAGCAAACGTTTTTTCATTAACTTTTCAGCTGAGAATCGTTTGAATGCCTTGCCAAGGATCTTTGCAACATGATAGCTTGTTTTTACGGGAGCTACATTTTCTTCTTGCTATAACGCTTCTGCTTTTCCTCTGCTCTCTGCCACTGACAACTGTTGTACTGCTTGCTTTTATGCCCCGTGAGACTGCGACTGTCTGACTTCTCAGTCAGGCGCCTAGGCAACAGAAGGAATACAAAAGGCCAGAACTCGGTAGACAGAAAGTATATCTACAGGATAGGCTAACGCTATTTATTAGTAAACGAAACATGCTAATTTAGGAGGTCAAGATCACTCACTATTCTGCTTTTGGTTTTTAACTAGTGTGAGTGAATTCCGCTCCACAGGTTTATCATACTGACGCAATAGGTCGCGGGCTGGTAGCTGCTGGCTGATCAATTATCAGTCGATTCCCAAATTCAGCGGAAAGGTCAAAGATCGTAGCACGCCAGTGCTGATGACCTTTGCATGTAGCGGACAGCCAAAGTGCTCCGCTTACGCCTTCATTACTTCCAATCGGTTGCTGAAAAATGGTTTCCATCCACTAGCTTCCTTCTACAACATAGGTTTTCCATCTCGACCTAGACCCGTGAACTCGTCGTACGTAGCTTTGTGTTTTGAATCACAATGTCTGTTCACATTTTGTTCCTCCAGAACGACGACTGTTTCCTTACCTATCAAACAAAACGTCTTGTCGTTATGTTGAACAAAAAATAAGCATTTGTCCACCATTCTTGACATGTCCTACATTCAGAGTCCAATTTCGCTTCGTTTGGTAACTCAGGCTGTTCGACACAAGTGTTCTACACGCTCAAAGAGCTCAGGAATGAAGCCGTGCCTCATCTTTATAATAGTTACACGAGTATTCACAACAAATACATTGCACATGGCGTCAATTGCTAATTGATGGCAGTCTAGGTATAAATACTGGAAGAGAGGGTTGAATGAAGGAAAACGGTTTACAATTTTTTCACGTAAAAATACGAGGTTAGTCGTGATTCACGAGCCGGATGAAATGCCGGATCCGGTCCGCGGGTAGTAGGTTGAACACCACTGCTTTAGTCGATTAATCGGGCTCGGAGCTGCCAACAGGCAGGTACTCTAGCATCCTTCGAAATAAAAAGCAAGGGCATCAAAGTACTGAGTTTGCCACGTGCCGTAACTTGCCTGGAAGCCCTGAACGGAGATCTCTTCCAGAAAAGTAGTCATGGCACCCCGCACCATTTCAAGCTGGATTTGAGCACTGGAAGTAAAAACGGCCGACAGCAGTGAATTTCGAGTTGTAGGGAAGCTGGTGCATTCTTGCTTTCGTCTGTCAATATCTTAAACACCGTTTCGGCAACCCTCCTGGCGATCTCACGCACAAAGACTTTTGTAAGTCCGACCTCGAAGACGCCCTGTGCACTGTACATCCTGCATCCTCTCTCCTTGAATGTCTGTCACCGAAACACGTACGCATTCGATAAAGCATCCACACAGCGTAGTGACCATGCAAATACAGGAATCCTTATTTCCAAGGAGGCTAGTTACATATGAGGCAATGAGGCTGGACCTTACCGTGGTGCGATGGTTTGTGTGCCTCAGCGATCCATTGAGCTATGCTGGGTGGGGCTTTTGCACCTTCAGAGTCATTCATACCAGATTGGTCAATGGTTAGAGGCCAGACAAACTCAGCCTCCTGGTCCTCCAGATTAGGAGTTGGAATGAAGGTGGCACCTTATTCCTTAAAACGGACTCCTTGTAGCCCAACGCCAAACCCGCTACCTTGCGGTCAGGTTTTTGAACCAAAGGCTTTGGTTGAGAACTCTAATCGTTCTCCTGTCTAGGCCTAGGCAACCTGACAGTATCCTGCCCACGCAATACCATGAATCTTCCCTCAAACAATTTCCTGATGCTCTGGCCACCGCAGAGGATAATCAACGGTGCCCTATCTGCTGCATCGAGAAGGGTAGATAGGGGTTTGGATGCTACTGATCAAGCCTTCCCGTCTTCTTATTCCCCCTCTTACGCTTTTTCACTCTTACCGTCCCGTTCCAACTTCACTTTTATCCCCCCAGTTTCAACCCCCGATTCTCGGCCCACCCCCAATATGCTTTGTTAGGCATTTATCTTCTAATTTCAACTCGCATCTGAACGCGGGGCGTCACTCCTCTCCTGTCGACAAGCCCATGTCCAACCAAGCGGTCCATTCCAGTTCATCGGCTTCCATTTGGAGCCCTCGATCCTCCTTCAGATTGGCATGCTTCAATGTACGCACATTGCTTCAGATCGGTCAACAGGCAGCACTTGCCCGAACATTGGAGACCCTCTCGATCGATATCTGCTGCTTATCAGAGACCCGCCTGCAAGACTCGAGCTCTGTGCTCACTCTGCGATCCCCTTCAGGTGACGCAAACAGTATTTTCTCAGTGCACCTATTCGGACGATGCAGTTTCGAGCACCAGCCAAGCTGGTGTTGGCATTGCCCTGAGTCCCCGGGCTGAAGCTGCTCTGGTTGATTGGATTCCAATCAGTAGCCGGATGTGTGCGGTCCGATTGGCTGGCTCGTTTAAAGCTTCGAAGTCGTGCGGGACTAATAGGTGTCTATTCATCATCGCTGCCTACGCGCTCACAAACTGTAGCGATGATTCGGTAAAGAACGACTTCTACCGCCAACTGACTCAGCTACTTCGCCACAGAAGAAGCACGGACACTGTTGTGCTGGCGGGGGATATGAACGCACAAGTTGGAAAGTTGTCCACTGATGAAATGCATCTGGGCGGTCAGCACGGTGTAGGCTCCCGTAATGATAACAGTGAGCGGTTACTTCATTTGTGTGAAGATGCTCGCTTATTTCTTGCGAGCACTAATTTCCGACACAGCACCCGCCGGAGGGTGACTTGGC